TGTGTGCTTGTGTGTCCTGATTGTGCCAAAAAAGATATTCTCTATCTGTGTTTAGCTCAATGAATAACCCGGTGCCATAGAGTTTCCGTTGCTGTTACAGCTGATGTTGTACACACTGCCACCTGCTTTACTGGAGGGGAATGTTGCAAACATGTCAAATAGTCCCTGCAGTTATGATTTCATTAGAAAGATTAGAAATAAGGGAGATTTACGGGAAAGTTTTTAAACGGGAGGACAGCAGGAAAGAATGGTAAAATACAAGAGAATCTCTGCAGAGCTGTAAACTGGCAGTGTATCATGGACCAACACACTAACTATTACTATTGACAAGCGGGAACACAAATATAAAGGTAATGTAAAAGTAGTAAGAAAACACAATCCCAGTATTTGAAGGTTAAATAACATCTTCCATATCCAGTTCATTCAGCTTTTAAAAACATAACCCACTATCCACTTGGGTTCACGACGTTGAGCCGGCATCGTGATTGTAAAACATTCCCAACCATACTGTCCACACATACAATAATATTCAATGCCCTTTGTTATAATGATTCAATGCTTTGTAAAAAAAAAAAAAATAAATGCACAAAATGAGTTTAAACTCATTTCAAAAACACATGAAGTTGTTAGATAACAGTCTCATTCAATTCTTGAATATGTGACTTACCCAGAAGATGAAATTAAAGACGATGAAGGCATACTTGATGCACACTTCCCACCAAGTCAGAGCCGTCATCCCTGCTATGTGTTTTAATGGCGTTAACTAGTTATTAATTTGTTAAATATCTGGAAATCTCTCACTGATGCTCTATGTGTCCTTGTGGGATCAACTTTGCTTTATCAAGTAGTCAGAGACAATTGTAATCAGAAGCCTCAGCTTATTACAAATGCATTGGGGTTCACCAGGCATCAAGCAAAGAAGAAGAACTCACTAAGTGTGAGTCTGACCTTTATACCTGGAGTCTTATTTGTCTCTAAGGCAGACAAGTTGACTGTGTGTGTGTGTGTGTTGTGTTTGTGTTTGTGTGTGTGTGTGTGTGTGTGTGTGTGTGTGTGTCTGTCTCCTGGACCATTCTGTGTGGTACTGTTTTTTTTCTTGCATTAGTTCCTGTTTTCTTAGAAAGAAGGCAGACACAGCTAAACCACATTCTCACACAGATATACTGTGTATTGCTTTCTTTCCACTTCCTTCCTTCCACTTCCAGGAAGAAAGAATTGCCGTCACCTGTCATTTTTCCAGGGCTTCAGCCCTGAACATTTGGACTGTCGCCCTGAATGTAGCTCAAAAACAACAACAACAAAACAATTTTTGGTATTGATATGTTACAGCCTTTCTTGCAGGTCTTGGAAAAATGGAGGCTATACTCGCAATAATACTACTACATTTTGTTTGAAGTTCATGTGACATGTAAACGGTTACGTGCATTTAGAGTGAACAGAGAAAAGCAAAAGAAGAGAGCGCGCACGTTGGTTACAACTTCAGGACTTGTCAGCGACTACTAAATTGTCCACAGCAATAATTTTGATCACAACTTTAAAATATTTTAATGTTTAAATGTTGTCGGTCACTGTCTAGTCAATGACCGCGACACAGACACCTTTGCTCTGTCTGGGACTGCCTCTCTGCTGCAGGATGCTTCCCTCTGTAGCGGCTTAACATGTAGATTTGTGATGAGATTTCTGCCTGATCGCAATGTTCTCGTTTTCCGTTTGCCACCTCCGATGAAGAGCAGCGTGCTCGTCTGATCCAGTACAGCCCCAAACGGGTTCTGTGTCTGTCAAACGGTGTAAGGGGTCCTACCATATCTGCAGAACAATAATGTAATGTACAGAAGAGTACAGGAGAGGTAGATATGTTAAAATATTATGACTTTATTCTCAAAATGTGACCCCCAGACCCCCCATTACTGTTAAAATTGTTAGTAGTAATAATCATAAAACATTTATAACTGTAGCTCATTGACTTATAGGAGGAAAAAAGAGTGAAATGGATGAGGTGATGATTCAGTTAGACAAATAGCAACAGAAAACAAGACAGTTGATAGAGTTGCTGTGAGTTTTGGTTCATAAAAGTAGAGGTAATTTACTGTTGCTTCACAGACTTTACAATGGTGGGGTGGGGTGGTATGAGGTGAAAACATGGAAGAATGGAAGAATTCTGGGCGACAACACCTCTGGTGGAAAGAGAGGAAAAATAAAAAGATACAATAAATGACATCTATGTTTGTCTTGAATTCACAATTTGTGCCGCTACATAATTAACACAAGTTATGTGAACTTGAAACATGTCACAAGAAAACCATGTACAAAAGTAAATGGTCTGTACGCCTTTCTAGGATTTTACACTACATCACATTGAGCCATTCATGTACCGATCTTGAACACTTCCTCCTCGTCTTCCTTCTACTTGGTTAATCTATATCCAGATATACTTATATGTGCCTAATATTTACTTAGCTTGGAGAGTTTTTCTCATGCTATGTTTTTTGCACTTCGCATACCTTTATTAATCATGGACGGGAAACCAGATCGATAGTAATTAGTTCAGCCTCTAGGATCTCCTATTTTTACAGGTAGAAATCTAAAAAGGAAGGTAACCATAAATAAATAAATTAACTACGAATGTGTGGTAGTTACACTTCCACCAAATGTGATTTCTTAAGCTGGCTTAGAGAAACAAACTGCATATAAACATTCATTTGAAAATGTTATTTACTTATGGCTCAATTTCAGGACTGGTGGAAAGAGCGAGTAGAAGATGCTGGAGTGTTCAGTCTGCTTCCAGCGGTGTAACTGTGTTCTGAATGGGCAAATCCAGGTGAACAGGTTTAGAGATGCACTTTGCTTTTCCATCTAGAGTTGAGTATTTTGAGCATTTTTTGCTGCATCCCTGGATCCCTGGATCCCTGTAGCCCTTTCTGCCCAGTTAAGTCTCTGCCCTTGAATCAGTTAATAGCTACAAGTTGCTCTGCTGCAAGACTTCTTGAGGCATGATCTGCTGGATTCTCTTCAGAAGTCACATACTTTTATTGTGCAGTCTTTGCTTGATGCGTTCCACACGTAGACTGTATATAAAAGGTTCCACACAGTTAGCTACAAACACATGAAATCTTCTGACTTCTTTATTAAATATAATGTTTATTTTCAGATTAATAATTTTATATAGGGGTGTGTGCCAGAATAGGTTTACATGATATAATTTTACACCATATTTTTGTCTTCCAGCCCCTTTATGCAGCACCTCTTTTCACCCTGTGTGTTGAAGGCTCTGTTGGCAGTACTATCTTCTCTTAGGGAAACCACTCTTGAAACAAGAGAAATTGTTAGCCAATTTGTTAATTCAGTCTCATTAAATATACTAAAATAGAAATTAGGAATTTCGTTTCATAATTAAATTACTAGCTATAACAAAATTACCATCAGTAGATAGTGGGTTGAAGGATTTGGAGTTCTATGCAGCGTAGGTTGGTAATATATTGATTGTTATGCAATATTAAAAGAAACCAGCATGTATATACACAAGCATTTTATTTACAAAATGAACAAAGCAAAAACACGCGAGATCAAAGAAACTACAATTCAATAAGAAAAAAAAGAAGACAAAGAGATCTGTGTTACTGATAAAGTGGTGTGTGTAGTGTAGTGGGGGGGGGCTGAATTGTATTTACGTATCTGTGTAACGGTGCCAAGTTCAAAGGTGTTATGCATGCAGCATGGAAAGACTGAGTGTCTGTGTGAAACATAGCTGAGTTGAGTTGGCGCTGTTGGTTGATCTCAAACCAATTTGGTCAGATTGGTTTGAGATCAACCAACAATTTCATGATATCTTTTTTTACATTTTTGGTTAACCTTAAGAAATGTATCATATAGAAATCATATTACAGGTATTAATTGATTTATAATTACTTGGTTTAAGTAGTTTGATGTGATTATAACCTTGCTTTAATGTTAAAGAAATGGTTTGATCCTATATGACAAAGTTTGATGATAGTATGACATTATGAAAAAGTATTTTAAGGAATTAATTTAATTTGATTTTGATATATGGTACAAATGTGTCTAATGCTTATCATGTATTTTGCCTGTTTTTTGTATTTTACTCTGTTTAGCCTGGTTCAACTGCATGATTTACCATTTGAATAATTTCATTGGCGTTTCATTTATCATTGAACTTTGACAACTTTAAGAAAAGTGAGGAGAATGCATTTGCAGAAATAGGCAGACAGATATCTTCTGTGTTCATGTGAACCGTATTTTTTGTGATGTGGAAAACAGACCAATTACGGTGAGACTGACTGGCTAGTCTGTCTGGACATTAGAGATCTACCAAACTCAGCTAACATGGATCATGAGATATACTGTCACATCCTGTCTGTTTATGTATAAAAGTTTTTTGTGTATTTTGGTGGGAAAGGGACTCCATTGAAGCTGTTTTGCTCAATTATTTTCTTTTGTAGGACCTTTTTTTTTTGCTAATTATACTTTTATAAGACACTTAGAGTAAAGAATCTCAAAGAAATTTCCTCTCTATATGCACTCTTTCAAAGTGTTCCTATTATTTTGGTAAATCTTTTTACCTATGTGTGCTGTGCATAAGTATTGAATATATTCTGAATAAATGTATTTTTTATACTTCTTACATTTAGGCTCTTTCCAAGTGGTGGAAAAAAACAAAGTATATTTACTCAAGTACTGTACTGAAATACAATTATGAGGCAATTTATACTTCTTGTACATTTCAGATGCAACTATTTTATTGACAACTTCAGTTACATTGCAAAAAATAGACAAATTAGATAAATTATAATGCATTATTAATGATTAAGAAAAGAAAGCTAGCAGTATATTAAGTCATTCAAATGAGCTCCACCTTCACCAGCTGCAACCTTAAAGTGATGTACAAATTAATGCATTGCAACTTACACTCCAAAAATATAATATACTGTTACGACCCCCTGTTGGTCTAGGGGTGTGGGGGCCATAAACATAGGCACAACTGGTAGATCTTAACAAGGTAACGTTTATTGGTAACAGAAGAGATGTAGACAGGTAACAAAAAACAAAACAAAAGGAGGGTGGACGAGGGTGCTGCGAAAATAACAAACCAAGTTAAAATAAAAAGGTCCTCAAAAGGAGGCCTGTACCTATCTATCGTTTTAAGCAGAGTTGATTCTTGCTACAAAAGAACACAAAGAGCACAGCACCCACTCCACCAGGTGAAAACTAACACAAAAGTAAACAAAACAATAAGTGAATTTCTCCACTGCACCCAATGTGGAGCTAACATACAAAGGTATGCAAATGTTTCCCTAAACACGATGTACAGCTAATAGGAAAGGAAGGTGGATAGTTCCACTAAACACAAAGTACAACTAACAGAAAGGCTATCCAGTCAATACCAGCGGCACACAAGTCAACAGGCGGTGACAAGCTGCCTGGAGCAACAGGTGGACTCTCCTTATGAGCCGGAGGTAATTAACGTGGTGACGAGCCATTGGTTGAGTGGAAAACAGAGGGAACCAATGGGTGGTACAGATGTCAGCACCCCAGAAACCAGGAAGTAGGCGGGTCTTCATTCCCCAGGGACACAGCCTACTTGGTAGAGGTGAGACAGGGAAAAGGGGAAACACAAGGGGGACAGCGACAGCCGTGACAATACGTTATTCTGAAATAAGCCATTCTGCATAATAAGTACATTCATTTTTGATAGTGAATATTTTAATGCTAATACTTGCATGATTATTGTTATAATATTTCATGTTTATCAGAAATAATTAATAATATTTTATTACCAAGTAGGTTTTCCCTATTTTCCAGTTTGGTGTATAGGCTGCAATAAACACACTAAGAGGAAATAAAAAGAAAGGCACCAGTTAAATTAAATAATGTCGGTGGTGGCAGGTTATTGTGTATGTACACTTCCATTCATATATAAATTATTTAAACTGATCATTTTAATCATTTTTAATCAGAACCTGTAGTAATTGTTTCAAGTAGCTTGTAAAAAATAAGGTGTGTCAAATTTAGTAGGCGCATCTGTTATTTTAATGTCAATTATATGCATGTATTTAATCAACACTAAACATCTATATATTGGCAGAAACCTGTAATAAAAGGTCTTGATCTTGAGATCAACCCACAATGATCACACAGCAATAAAACTTCAAATGAAAAATACATCCATGTACACAAGCTAAAGAAGTCTTGTGCTTTGCCAGGTGTCTTTGCATTTAAGCTATATGAAGCTCTGCCATGATCAGTACGTTACTAGTCCATGAAGGAAGGAAGATGCTTGATGCAGGTCCTTTATGGATGGAGCCAGGCAGTTGCAGTCTTTGCTTTGTCGTGACACAGATGAGAGGTTTCCGGCCGCTCTGTCTGTTCTCCTCAGAATTAACCAGTTGCTGGACCATAACTGCTTGTAAGCATTGCTAAATCAATCAATCTGCTGCTTAAATGTATATATACATCATCATGTATGATGACCATGATTTTTTAAATCTGAAATGATAGAAGATGGACTTTTGTTTTAATACATGATGGAAAGTATGACAAGAAAGTCTAACACAGCAGTTTGGTGCTAACCACAGGAGCGTGCATCTGAAGACTTACAGGAAATGGGCCTCCTGCCAGCAGCTACCATGGTGTGATGTTTTTTAGGTAATGACTAAATGAGCTCTAGAAAATGTGTGAAATGTAATAACAAGTGATGAATATATGTTTTAAGAATGTAATAAGAATCATTCTTGATCATTGATAAACGATTGAGGATGCTGAATTACAAACAGTTTTAATGCCATATCTTTGCTTAACCTGAAAAAATTTATCATATAGAAATTATATTACTGTTATTAATTGATTTATAATTACTTGGTTTAAGTAGCTTGATGTGATTATAACCTTGCTTTAATGTTAAAGAAATGGTTTGATCCTATATGACAGAGTTTGATGATAGTTTGACATTATGAAAAAGTATTTTAAGGAACTGATCAATTTAATTTGATTTTGATATATGGTACAAATGTGTCTAATGCTTATGATGTATTTTGCCTGTTTTTTGTATTTTACTCAGTTTAGCCTGGTTCAACTGCATGATTTACCATTTGAATAATATATATTTCATTTATCATTGAATCAGGATCTCTAGTAATTGTATCAATTTGCTCGTAAAAAATAAGGTGTGTTTAACGTGCCAGATCTATAAATATATACACATGTATTTAATCAACACTACATAAACCTATAATAAAAGGTCTCTGATCGGGATCTGGGCCCAAAAACCTGATCAGGACTGTTTGAGATTGAAGGCTCTAGAACAAGCACTTTAAAGCTGAAAAAGCTGGTCTGCATTTTGGTTATTTTAAACTCCCACCTCAGAGAGGCCATCACTACATTGCAGTGCCAACTTTGCAGATGTAGTGTAAAAGCGCTTTGAGTGGTCGAAAAGACTAGAAAGGCGCTATACAAGTACGGAGCATTTACATTACATTTAACTTAATCTTCAGTCACAAGATTAAGGGGCTGTGTTAAATTGTGACCATAATAATCTGCATTGAGTATTTGGGGTGAAGGATGCTTGTTTCTTCCCTCCAGCTACTTTGTGAAGCTGCCGCCTCACTACCCGATCAGCCAACCAGCTCTACAACTGATCGAGCAGATCCTGACCCTTAAACAGCACACAAATGATTGCACACAAACACATGTGCACTCAAACCTAAGCACTGTGACAGTGTGCGACTTTACTAAAGTCTGAGTGAATTGCTGCTAACACAGATGAAACAGATGATCCCTGCAGATGTAATAGCACCACTTGTTTCTAAAATGTACCTATAAAGCTGTTAAGTCATAAAATGTACTGATAGTGAAATAATGAAGAAAGGGAATACAGCAGAAATCTTCTCCAGGTTTCATGAGTGTTTGCTCACCAGGTAATTCTAATAAAGGAGGGAATTCTGCATGTAACTAAAACCAGTTCTCATGCCTGAATTAACAATTTCTTTAAATACCTGTGCTGTTTTATTTGTTTTTTGGTAATGGTTAGACTCCAGAGAAACAAACCAGATCAAAAGTCTACAGACGAATGTGTGTATCAAATTGCACTGTAAAATCAAATCAAACTTACATTCTTACATTCACAAAAAAGAAATCACAAATTTTAACCTCATGGTGGCGCTAGAGGAAAAGCATGGGGTTCTTGAGCATGGATGGTTGCAACAATAACAGAGAGAAATGTTTTCACCACTTGTGCTTCAAAAATGTAAAGGTAGGACTCAGTTTTTCAGCTCTATGTTGACAGACTTGTCGTCATTTATAATCTAAGCTGCACTTTGTCATTCATGTTTACTTTGGCTCATATGTGTTTTGCATGTATTTATTTAGCAAGACTGAAAACTGCTGTTTTTACAACCCTGTGCCTACAGCCTTTTTCTGTATTCATGATTTTATCAGCTGAAAACATTCTCCAATTATCATGCACTGACTGTCGAGCTGTTGCACCTTATAAGCGGTCATTGTACATATACTGATAGATTTAAACAGTTAACATTTTATTTACTATAGATGTATTCAAGTTAAAACAGTAACGCAGATGATTTCTAGCTATGTTGTGTACTGTATATTTAACAGCAACACAACACATACATACACAAATACAGTGGGTGGTAATGTTATTATTCTCCTCAGTGATTCTATTATTCATCACTTGGCATGGGAATAGCATGCTATGCATGAAAACTGTTTCTGAGTTGTCATTCTTGGAAAAAAAAATAAATATCTAGGTTTTTTTTTTATAAAGCCAGAAAGTTGAATGTTTTTTGTTTTGACACTCCTCTACAACCAAAAGTAATCGCTGTATCTCATATGTAACTGTATTTGGGAGTATGTGGTACTGATCTCCGTGATATCCTCTCAACATACAGGGAGTGGACAAAATACAGAATAGTCACAGCCAATTTATGGGCACCAAGGTAGTTGGCAAAGAAAAGTTGGTCAGCATAAGCTTTTCATTTCCATTTTATTGAAGTATGTTATTAATTTAACACATCTTTTTTACATTAAAGGGGCTATGTGTAAACCTCACATAAAAATTCCACTTGCCAGGTTTTTCTGGTACCTCTGAGCTCTCAGCAAGTCTAATCCTATGTGAAGATTTTCTGGGACATCCATTGGGTGTTGTGTGCATGCATGCTCCTGAACCTCTTGCCTTCTGATTCTGAGCCATGCACACACCGACAACACCACAGCTAAGAACGTGGAGTCCACTAACGCCATAAAACAACCATGTCCCAGCACAACATAGAATCCAACACAAACTCCACATAAGGATAAAAACCAGCAACAAAGTTTTATGTGCTAGAGTCCCAGGACAAATGAGAATCAGATGCCTTCAGGTGAAAACAGTCAAAATCAGAAAGGCTGGAATCACAAAGAGGCCTCCACTTTATTTTGGAACTGACAAAACCAACAGAGTTGGCTTTCATCCTATTGGGTAGGTAAACTAACAAAGCCTGTGAAACATATTGTGATTTTGTGCTTTAGTTGGCTGAAGTTTGATAATGTTTGCTTGCTGGCTAACGGCGACCAGTTAGTAATGTTATTTGTTGCAAAATACTGCATTTGTATGGCTTTCCACATTACTTCACCAGCTAATGTGATCCATTTGACTGTCCTTTGTACCTCCAGTATTATGTGAAAGTGTTGATTTTAGCCTGCAAAAAAACGTTAAAAAACAAATGTGCACCGATTTGTTTATACTAGGCTGTAATGATGCAAGGCAGGGGGACAACCAGCTAACATATCATAGGCACAGATCTGCAGCTGTGTGTGTGTATGTGCAAGAGGTAGAAAATGGGAGGTGGTGTGGGGGAAACTGAGTTGGGAAGTATAGAGATTAAATGCTTTGGGGAAAAAGGGTGGGGGGGTTAAGAAGAAGAAAAAGAAAAACAACAGCAAGAAAAAATAAATAACTAAATGAAGCAGAAAAAAATGTAAATAATACATTATAAAATTTAATTGAATAAAACGTCTCTCCCTGCCTCCCTTCTCCTTTTCTCCTCTGACCGCCCTCGACTAACTGTTTTCGTTATCATATATTAAGCTTTGCTCACATTGCTGAGCCTATGGTGAAAGATAGAAAATAGTTACTGAAAAGCAGACAGGCGAGCTAACGCTGATGTATCGTGTCGGCTAAATGCAGTCGGTGTAACTTTATCATGCAACGAGCATGAATAAAGTTACTCCAAACAGCTGAAACAAATATTACTGTAATGTGGCAGTGGGAGATTACCTGAGCTTCCAGCACTGTATGTGAAGCTGTCTCCTGGTGTGTCAGTCACCTGGTTGCAATCTAAAAACCACTTGTGGCCACTGAAATCTACATATAGGCCCTTTAATAAGATTTTCAGACGGAGAGCTGACTTGGAATTTGGGCCATACAAATGAAAGTGACTTGACCTTGTTATCTTCTTTTTCTGCGCTGATACAACCTACAATTAACTTTCAAATTTGCCTGTAAGTCAAAAGCAATCATTGGGTCAAAATAATCAGAGTCAAGACATCAGTGTACTTTGTCTCTACAGTCCATCCAGAAACGATTTGACTACCATTTTTTTCAAAACCCATTCTTTATTAGTCAATGTGTTTGTCACACAATATATTTCAACTGCACTCATCAAAATATTTACATGAAAGTCCAGTCCATCTTTCATAAAAATCAAAAGCTTCTAACATGTAAACAAAATTTAAAAGTCAGTGTTATCCAACAATAAGGAGGTGATAAAAAGAAAAAACTAAGTTAATAGGACTGATCAACACGACCATCCTCTATGGATCCAAACTAACTGATGCCCGTTACGATTATTAAAATGATTTAAACTCTAAAGCAGAGGATTTAAAAGTGAGCGCACTTAAGCTAAAGATGGATGGACGGGGTTTTGTGTTTGTTCAGTCCCTGGACCTCACAATGGCGCAGCAGAGCATAATGCTGAAGACCATCCCAAAGATCTGCAGTGAGGAGGAGGAGACAGGAAACATATGGAGTTAAAACCACATTAGACTTCACTCTTCTTTAAGCTAAAATGAAACTTAAAACATCAGGTGTTATGGTGTTATTTTACTGACAGCACCTTACAGCAGTGACCCCCAACCTTTTGGGCTTGTGAGCCAATAAAATAAAGAGATGTCTACTTGCGACTAGAGATGTGACGATATAAAAATAAACACCGTATCAGACACAAAAAGCAGAGTATTTGTCTTGAAACATCTCTAGGGGATTTTTAAAGCTACAAATTGGCACCCACAACTTGGTCATGCTTCAGTAGATCCACTAGCTAATGTTAATATAGCAAGCTGTGACCACAGTAGCAAGAAGATCGGTGGTTCGATCCCGGCTGCTCCAGTCTGTTGAATAAGATACTGAACCCTAAACTGAGAGTGTGTGTATAAATGTTAGTCTCCTTCTGACTTCTGATGAACAGTCTGTGAGTGAACGAGTGTGATATGTAGTGTAAAACGCTATGAGTAGTAGGAAGACTAGAAAGGAGCTATATAAAAGAACAGTCCATTTAAGTTACTCTGTATCGTACCTCTGGTGTACAGGTATACATCTACTTTTGACACAGGTTTTTGTCTTAGTGTGGACATGAGAAATTCTTTTATCTGAAGCTGTTTTAGAGGCCTGCATGGGAGTAAGTATGCTATATTAAACAGAATATTCTGAAATGGATGTTTGTTATTCGTATCTCTTTTATTATCACTGAATATTCTCCATCTTAACAAGTAATTTCTGTCTATAATTGAAAACTTTGTTAAAACAAGTGAACAAATATGCAGCTACAGTGTAAATTTCAATCTACTTTCAATAGTAAACAACTGAGTGAAGAAAGAAGGACAATCAATGACTCACAAGACCTGCATGCATTTAATTCAACAATCAAGCCTTTAATATATCTATTGAGTTTTAAATTCGATTACCCTATACATGCAGGCTAGATTAAATGGCTACTCTAAATTGTCCTTAAATCTGAGTGTACGTGGTTGGTTGTACCCCGACCCTGTACACAGGATAAGCAGTTGATGATAAGCGAGTGACTGAGGATTTGTGTCATCCACAGACTCACCATGATTACACCGATACCGAGGCTGACCCCGCAGATGACGTGCAGTTTGTTGTTGAACATCTTGGCGATGGCGTCCGGACAGCTCTGATGGAACAGCACAAAGAAAAGACATGCTTTTACACTAAATCTTACTCAGAACACAGAATATTAACAGCTCATTGTGGACATGTTTTGTAAACAGGAGGAGTGTGTCAACATTTATTTTAAAATCTAATTCAGGTTGAACTCATCATTAGTGAGGCTCCCTGATCAACATGATGTCTCCCTGTGAACTTAGACCCTGTGTAAGTCAGTCAAAAACCCTGTCACTTTGTTGTGTTTGTGTGGTGATGAGGACCTCCAGTCCCGTCTTCTTGGGGCAGATATCTTCAACAGCATCTTTCTGCATCCCTGTGTGGCCGCAGCAGTTGAGCTGTGAACAGGAAACAAGGCCACGACTGCAACTTTAGTTCCTCCAGGAAAAAATCCTGACATCAGACCAATCAAGCTTTCACTCACTATACAGCCTATGTTTGCAACACACATCTAGCCTAAATTTTAGTCTAAAAATACTTTAAAAATAGGTGTAAACCGGCTGCCCCGAGTATGTACTGCATACTGTGGACACGCTGACGAGGAGGCTAAAACCCATGGACCCCGAGGTTTGTTGCCAGTGCAAAGTTTTCAATGTGACAAACTAAAAAATACTGAAAAGAGTGCCAATATCTTGCCAAATAAAGGTTCCTTGGAGTATTTCAGAATAAATGCACATCATAGCAACACTCTTTAAACTATAGAAAAGAGTCTACAGCCATGCTGGCAGCTTCCATACTGTACCTAAGCACAGCACTGATTTGACATAAACATTAACAACAGCATGCTAATATGCCAATGTTTAACTGGTATAACGTTTACCACGTTCAACATCTTAGTTTAGCGTGTTAGCTCGCTAACATTTGAGAATTCACAGTAAAAACACAAAGCAGAGCTGAGGTTGATGACAAATGTATTAGTTTTGCAGGTATCTGGTCATAAACCAGTAAACCCAGTAGTGTAACTGTGTGATAGTTAATTAGCCACTAGCATTGCTGAAAATCAGTCCAGAGCCAAAAGACAGATACATTGAGATGTTCAGTAAACGTGAGTGCACACTGATAACACAAGTGCTAAAAATACTGGTGCTTCTAGCTATAATGGACATGATTACCCAATTTTAGTTATGGTTGAGGATTTGAGAATAATGTGAGGAGTAGAAGCAAAAGAGAACTAACAAATACATTGGTGTTCAGGGGTGTGTGTGTGTGTGTGTGTGTGTGTGTGTGTGTGTGTTGTTCTCACTCCAAAGTGGATGACAAACAGGGTTTTCTTCAGTGCTTCCTGTTTGGTGGTTTGGTAGTTATTGTAAGTCTCATTATAGAATTTCTTAACATCCTCCACCACCTAAAGACGCAATACAAACTCAATTTAAATTACTGATTGAATGCAGACTCTGCCAGCCAACAATGATACCAAAGTGTGTGTGTGTGTGTCTCTCGTGTACCCTGTCCTTGTTGGAGAAGCCCCAGATCCCAGCAGACACTTCCAAAGAAAAGATGATGAGCAGGAAGAGGAAGAACTAAAAGAGATTTAATTAGTTCAGATTGCTATATTTACTATGTTTCCTCTCATCACATGTATTTCAATATTTATAGTTTAAGTATGGTGATGGTACAGTGGATTTGGCACCAAGGTAGTAGTAGTAATGTACTGAATTGATACATTTCTTGACATGTAGAAATCCGCCAATAATTTAAATAGCTATATCTGGTGGATTCATTCAAGTGTTAACAATCTTTTATTAAATATATTCTAAAATGTTGAGCCAATCTATAAATATTACATTCAGCCCATTAAAATAAATTACAATGTGGTCTTTAATAAATACAACTGACCATGTGATGGACTAAATACACATTTTACAACACAACAGCCCTGCAGTACAGAACAATATGATGCAACCTCAACCTCGCGTTATTTGGACCTGCACATCACATAAGCAAAAATACTGTAAACATTACATAAGTTGTAGGAACATAAAGTCTCTTAACAGCCCCCATGCACCTCCACACAGCTTGATGATGACCACATTACTTGCATTTTTATAAAAAGCCAATAACCAGTCTCAAATAAATATGAAATTTGTAAGCTGAGGTAAAAGTTTCAAAATGATGTGTAACACTTGTGTAACACACAGCAGCAAAGAGATCTGTGACAGGTAGACAGGTGATCCAACACTGACTGAAAGACACAAACACAATCTGCAGACATGGCCAACAGTACTTTACATAATCCCTTGAAACCAAACTTTATGATCAAATAAAGTTTGATCAGGTTGCGCAGCCGGTCACGGACACTTCAAGTCGCGAAGCCGAACCTTATGTTGTTCAAGTCAGCTGCTGGCCAAAAGGCTAAAGGAAGAATGGAGAATGAGGGAGATGGGTGTTCTTCAACAGCTGTCAGTATTGCCTCGATTGTGTTACGGTCTGATATTAAAAGAACTTTGTTGAACTTTGTGAACTCTGTTGTAAACTTTGTGAACAAAAAGCTTTCAACCGCAAACAATTCTACATCTATTTAATGAAGCATCTGCTAAAGCAGCACAGCAATGTGAAACCTGTAGAAAGAAACTCCGGTGCTGACCAGGGGGCCGCTACTGCCAGTTATGCATGCACTCGTCGGGAGAGAGTGGCATTGTATACTGAATACTGCATGTGCAAAAAAACAGTAGTTCAAAAGTTGGGAGTGACTTGCTTTATTTTTTTTTTTTTTTCAGCCAGTAGCGTTAAGAAACGTTAAATGTTTTGAAAGTCCTTGCTGCTGCTGAATATCCTATTATTTAAGAACTCATATGCTATATTTTTCTATTACATTTGTCTCATTTAAAACATAAAACACATTTCATCATTTATATTAAATCTTTTTAAATTTTTATTAAATTTTAAGCAACCTTTTTTTAAACGAAAAAATATTACTACCAAAAAAGATTTTGCTCAATGGATGAAGATCTGAAATTAAGAAGGAGTCTGTACACGTACAAAGTGATGAACACTTTATGCATGGTACATCAGAAGGTAAGTCTTAGTCTTTGAGACACAAGAAACATGTTGCATCTGCAAATATTGCCTGCCTCACTCAGTGCTCTATTCCTTAAAAATATGGAAAATGAGTGGAAGCAAGTCCCACCATCCCCTACAAAGAGATGGACTTCAGAGTGTAAAGGCTTAAATTTAACATGCACCTCTCAAATCTTAGTAATAATGTAGTTCAGGCTTTCATACATAAAAAAACAACAGCATTATCAACAATACAAACATGATATTTGTTATTTGATCAATTGCCTCTCTTAGGGCCATAAAAACTGCTTGCTGTGATTTCCGCCATTTTGAAAAGACAGAATATTTGCCATGTGGGCCCCATTTGTTTGATATCAGTAGAAAGCCCAGGATGTACTCTACACAGTACATTAGGACTCAAACAGCTTACATGCATGGCCATGTACCCCACAGAGGCTAAAAAATTAATTGCCGGTACATAGCCTATGCTGATCTGGTCAGAGAGGCTGCAGTGTTTTCAGTTTGGCTGATTATTGACTCCTGAGGTTAATTATTGTTCCATTAAAGTGGATTCATTTCTAAAATGAGGTGTCTGAACAGGATGTCCGTAACGTTGTAGGAACCGATGGGCAGGAGTAGTAAAAGTAATGTAGTAACTCATTACTTTTAATACCCAGTAATAAGTAAAGAGTAACTTATTGCAATTTCTGAGTAACTTGCAATCAACAAGAATCTCTTTTGTGCTGAACAGAACTCACCAATCCCAGCATGCATGGCGACTCTTTAATGGCTCCGCAGCATCCGAGAAAGCCCACGACCATTATTACAGCCCCTGACACAATTAGGAAATACACACCTACAGAACAAGAAAACATTATGCAATGACCATAAAATAATATCATGATACTGCAGGGTGTTTTTGATATAACAGTATTCACTGTACAGTAAAAAACCTTTCTGATCGGAGTCAGTGATCTAATCAACACTGACATCTTGAAGTCATATTGAAATCTAGCTGGTCGCCATGCAACTTTAAACAACCTTCAACTGTATGTAGACTTTGTTGGGTAAAATGTGTGATTATTACAGAATCAATTTTAAAAATGGTAAACAGAAATAAACTATAATCAGTGGAGCAGTGCTGAGGATGAATTTGAGTTTAAGAGTCTGAAAAAGCTGCTCTGCAGTTTGGTGGTGTGGCAGCAGAAATTTCTATATCTCTTCCCAGAAGGCAGCAGGGTGAACAGACAGTGGCTGGGTGGGTACTGTCCTTTAGTATCCTTTGGGCTCTGCGTAGGCACCTCACCTCACCGATATCACTGATGCTCAGGAGATGGATACCAATGATCTTCTGAGCATTTTTAATCACCCACTGCAGAGCCCTCCGGTCCTGGGCCGTGCCGTCAGGATGCTTTCTATTGCTCCTCTGTAAAAGCTGACAACTTGGCGTGGGAATTCTTCTTCTTAAGCATCCTCAAGAAATACAGGCGATTTTGGGCTTTCTTCACCAACGTGGAGCTGTGATGTGACCATGATTAATATATATGAATGTAGGACAAATGTTCCTCCTCCAACGCTTCTTTCTCCCAAGCTGTTAAGATGTTTGTCGTTTCAAAACAATCAACGGAAGCTGTAAACAAAGAGAAAAGGGAGGGACCAAGTCTTTCTTTCTGTGAGTTCCTCAGAGAGCACAAATGGAACGAAGACGTCCCTGTCAGCCAATGAAGAAAGAAATCACTGTGTGCCAGGCAGAAGGAGCCCCCTCACTAACTCACTCAGCTGCACCTCCAGCTCTAGAATAGGCCACATAGCGTCAGTGTGCAAACTATGGCTTTCGGGGGAGCTCACTTTTTTTCCCACTCTCAATGAGGCGAGGGCGGTGGGGGTGCAGACTGATTCTTACTCTGAATCTGCTGCAAGCATGTAGGCTTGGGCTGACTGTGAAAGTATCAGGCATGTTTGTCTTATTATTATAATAAGAAAAATATTATTATTAATATTATTATCATCATCATATGTAGCCATTTTGCTACAATTAGGCTTCACACAACAGCTGTTTGCAAGCCCCCAGCTGCAGTACTGCAGGGATCATGCGTAATACCCAGCCAGACGAAACGATCACAAACCGTTGACAGCTGATCATGCATCATCATTTTAGGGGAGCTGATGTCTTATTTAGGGGACCTAAGCTCCCCCTGGCTCCTCCGTTCGCACCCTGCATAGCGGACCTTCTGGGGCCCAAAATGCAAGCTGAGATCCTCTGGTAGGTCATTCCTGACCATTTATTTGTCGATCAAACCTTAGAACTTAAGTTAACCGGGCCTTTTCTCTTAGTGGTGGAATGACCTGTTGGAGAAGATCAGGAAAGTCAACGCATTGTCTTTTATTGATATAAAATATAAATAAAAAGGTTTTATCATCATCAACATCATTATGTCATCTGACAAACACATGAAACAATAAACCCAAGATTAATCCAAGACTGGACAAACACACTTTGCAGACTTTTTTTCATTCAGAAATACCTGGGATTGTATCCACAAAACATCTGTGTTTTGGCTGTTTTGGTAGTGCTGAATTTGTGACAACAGTCCAAAAGTTTTATGGCTAAGTAAATGAATATCACTTTGTTCTTTACGTTACATAGGAAAAACTAAGCTGACAAGCCTGTTTGTGGTTCAAGTTTGACAGTTCATCAATTGAACATTAAATTATAAAAAACTGCAATAAATGAAGCAGATTTAGTTGGAACTTCATGTAGAACTCATAAAACTCCATAAAAAAACAAGATTTGTTAGGACAACTGGAAAACATTGCAGTATCAATGTGCAGATGGTGTTGGATGTCAGACTAAATATGCTTGACATTTGACTTACTGTACTTCTTAACTGTAGACGTAGAGTAAGTTCATGAAACCTACCGTCACAGTACCTTCAGAGACTAGCTGAAACTTATAATGACTGGACAAATCTTGAAAGATTGTTTCCACCAATTTGCACGGTATGATGTTGCTGATGTTTTGTAACCTGGATGCAACTGTGAAGGCAGATGTGTAATGTCAGAGGCCTTACTAGTTAAGAAGACTGTAGGGGAGTCCTCTGCTTTAAACAGCCCTGCTGTCCTGCAGTCAAGACGCAGCCAAAGGCCCACAAACAGCATTCCAGTACCTGCCACCTGAATGACAAAGAAAGTAAACACATATGAAAGATTCACAAGCCAAAAGAGTAATTAAACTCTTTGTCGTCACGTCTAAAATCACCCAGTACTTTGAACATGGAGCTACTGAGGATATAAATCTTTCAGAATGTTTAGACAGCAGGTCTTAAACAACATTGAGCATCAACCAAATGTGTGTCTGAAGAATAAGTGTGCAGTGAACCGGGGAAAGTGGCTCCAGCCCCCTCCTTGTCTCCCTCTGTTTCTCAGTCACGCACATGAGCATGTGTGTTTTTAACAACATTATGCAACATTAAAAGGTAATCTTGTAGAGCAGTTATGGTATAGAGTTATCTAGAACCGTTGTTCCAGTTGTTGATACCACAATCTGATTTTATCAGAGTTTGTTTTCGAAACTGGAACCTGGTTTATCAGCTGGAGACCAGAGTTCGTGGTTGTAACCATAATCTGTTTTAAGCAGTCAAACCACATAAGCAAATAGTCAGCAACCCCTCCCTAATTATCTTCCTCACGCAGTCAACCAGACAAAAGTCTGCAACATTTTCCATCATATGATGTTTTATTTAAATTATTGGGGCAGCTGTGGCTCAGGAGGTAGATCGGGTTGCCCGTTAATAGAAAGATTTGCTCAATCCCAGGCTTCTCCAGGCTGCATGTCAAAGTGTCCTTGGGTAGGATACTGAACCCCGAATTGCCCCTGGTGGCTGTTCCACCAGTGAATGAATGTGTGTGAATCCTAGATTGTATTTAAAAAGATGTGAATGCAATGTAGTGTAAAAGCGCTTTGAGTGGTGGCAAAGACTAGAAAGGTGCTATAAACATACAGAGCATTTCCAGTCATTGGCTTATGGTTATCCCCTTTCTAGTCTATTCTCATTGGCTCATGGCTAACTCTGTCAACAGAGTGACGACCTCACAGAGGTTAAATAGGTGTGTTTCCCTACTGGTCAAGTCTCTTGGATGAGGGACGAAACGTCTTCCAGTATCTTCAACCAAGTCCAGTTGCCCTTGACTTTAACCTTCTTTGGATGATCTGGATGAATGAGAACCTTCACAGACAAGACAGGCCTAGTGCCACCGGTAACGACAGCCTTGTAAATTGAAATATAATTGGTATTTAAATCCTTCTAACTTCAAATGAAAAGTAGTATAAATGTAGCTGAATTGTTTTCACTTGAACTGTGATTTAGAATAATGCAGAAATGTATGGCGGTTAGACCAGTTTTCTTGGTAAAGTAAAATAATTATTTGTTTTAACTCAAAGTATAAAGTTGAAAAAATAGCCCATCCGAATTTTCCTCTGCCTCACTGAATTGGTCCAATATAAAGATCATCAGGGGTACTTCAGGTGCCCTTTGTTATGAGTTGTAGTCTCTTCCTTGTGAGTTTGAGTTTTTGCCATTTGTTTCGTATGTCTATTTGCCTGTTTCTCTCGTTCCTTGTCCTTAGTAGTTTATGTCTCGTCTTTTATCTTGGCTCTTGGTCCTGTGATTCAGTTCTTTGTCTTTGTTCCCAGTCCTGTGCCTCGGTTATGTTTTAGTATTTACTTTCTGTTCCTCATCTGCATTATTTTAGTTTAGTCTTCTCTGTATTCTGTGTCTTAGCTCCTCGTTCTGTGTCTCGGTTTATGTCTTAGTGTTTTGGGTTCTGTCCTGTGTCCAGTATCAGTTATATAGTCTGTTGTGTTTTGGGGTTCACTCATGTCCGTCTCTGTCTTGTCTGTCGTCTAGTGTTCAGGAACCTTGTCATGTCTGTTACCCCAGTGATCCCTCTGCATGTCTGTCTCTGTTTTCCCCTGCTCGCTCTCTCCCTGCCTGTGCCTCGTTAGCCTCATGTCCTTCACCTGTGTTGCTCCCGCCCTGCTCGTTAGTCCGTGTGTGTGTATATATACCTGGTGTTTCTGTCTTGTCCTTGTTGGATCATTGTATGATGTTTCTCAGTGTTGCTATGTGTTGTCCGGTTGCCAGCCTTCCTCGTCATGTCTCCCTGCTCATTTTGGTTTTCTGTTGGACAACCTTTGTTTTGGACTTAGTCTTTCAGCCACTCTGTTTGTAAGTGTGCTCGCCTTCTGTTTGTTCTAATAAATCACCCCGGTTCACTGCACCTCCTCTGCCTTGCGTCCTGCATTTGGGTCCTCCCACTTGCTCAACTCAGCCACCCATCGTAACACCCTTTGATCGAGTCGCACCAACCTCACTATTTGGGGTAATTCCAGACACAGTGATTTTATCAAGACTTAAAGCAGACTTTGTGGCCTTCTTGACTTCTTCCTACTGGCCAGACAGATAATATTACTTAATTGGAAGTATGAGGTTTATATACATGTTAGTTTTCAAAATTTTCATCCTCTTTTTTTCTTTTCCTTTCTTTTTATATACGTTTTTCTTGCATGTATAGATAGGTACATATGGGTATATCTGCATGGTATGCATTTCTGTTTATATTGTATGTATACATGGCCATATCCATTTACCCTGGCTGTAACTACACCCGCAAGTTTTGCATGCTACCAGTGGTGTAGCAATATTCTGGACCCTGTATATAGGCATTCTTCACTGGCCCCTGCATGCCACCATTATTGTTGTTTGTATGTTCCAAAATGAGAGGAACTACTGCCTACCTTGCAGAAAATCACAAATAAAAAAGTAGTTTTGAAAATAAATATTGTGAAAATGATGTTATCAATCATTTTGAATTGCATAACTTACCGACAAGACGAAATTAAAGATGATAAAGGCGTACTTGATGCACAGCTCCCAGCTGGTTAGGGCTGTCATTTCTGCTCTGTGTTTTAACAGCGTTTGCTTGTAATTAAACTGTATTTATATATATATGGATCTCTCTCCGGTTGCCCGTTCTTAGGTGTTCGGATCTGTCAGTTATCGGTTGTTTGGAGTTGGACAGACAGATGCTCCTAATCTGTTGGAAGGAAACAGAGACGATCAACTAATGAACACCTACAGAAAAACAGACACAGATTTGTCTCTTTCATTTTCTTTTTTTTTTTTTTTCCTCCTTTGTCCTTGTTACAGCCAAACCCACAACCTTTGATTAAGAACGATGTCAAAATTGTGGGCTATTTTGATAGAAAGAGAGACAGAAACTATAAATGATATCTTGAAATCATATTATAATAATTCTCAATAAAATGTATTTTATCAGAATTGCAATAGCTTTAAGGTATTAAATAGCTATACTTGTCGCCATGGCCTACTTTATCCCACTACATCCCACAAAACAGCAAAACTCCAATATTTGTTAAAATTTGATTAAATATGAGTAATAACACTCACTTCTGTATACTACTACTACTATTACTACCACCATCATCACCACCACAACAATATGCTTTACTAAAGCATAAAGCACCATGTAAAGCACTTTTTTACAAAGTTGAACCAGGATTAAAACGCTTCAGGACTGCAATGAGATAAATACAATCAGATAAATGAATTATATACCAAAAATAAATACCAAACAATAATATAAAATATGGTAATTTTCTTTAATATTGTTAGCAACGTTGAAATCAAATATGCCATTCAACTACATTATCCACCATATAATTAAACTATAAGTCAATAATTTCAGCAACTGATCATATAGTTGATTTAGCCTATAACTGCTCAATCATGTATCAGGTAGAACTAAGAGGTTTTAGTTTTAGCATTTAGCTGAACACCAATTTGATAATTTAGTATTACATTATTCCTAAATTATCCACATTTTCTGAAGGATCTTACCTTTAGATGACAGGCTGTGACAGTCGACGTTCAGAACTCTCTATCGATAGAATTCAAGCTGAGCAAATCTAATTTGAGTTATCAATATCATAAATGCACAAAGTTAATAGCTGCTAAGAATACTATACTAACCGGTGACAAAAACGTCCCTCTCTACTTCTCCTCAAAAATGTCTATAAAGAAAAAGGCCAAAAGAACAAAACAGCAAACAGCAAAACGAACAGCACCAAACTTCTCTCAGGTGGAGGTCATGAAGAACTCAAACTGTCTTCTAAATAAAGTGAAACACTATTCAGACATTGGTCAAAGCTCAATTATTTTACCTCAAACTTAAAACACGCGATCAGACAGGGAAGAATGTGTAACTAGCTGTTTCTCAGTGAGCCACTGTAATTTTTAAAACATGCACAAAACTGTTTTTTTAAAGGATGCTTATCGTCAACTGAAGATGGGTGATGGAGAGACCATTTCAGCCGGATGTCTGTGATGAGATAGGTTTGCTTTGCTCTGGAGGTCAACCGTCATGTAGCAACAGATGTGCCACGTTTGTGCTATTAATAGGATTAGGCTACCTTGAAAATGGCCTTGTTATCTGGAAACAACTTCAGTTAATATTTGGCTATAGCCTACAACTTGAGTGATATTGTGCAGATCTTAAAGGAATCACCACTGAGTGGTGATTTATCTACAGTATTATCTGCCCTTGTCATGATCCTGTCCTGTGTGCTATGTTTTTGGGTTTGATTTTTTATCTGCATGTTAGTCCTGTCATCTGTTCAGTTTAGTTCTCTGTGAGTTTATTCTTTAGGTATCTGTCATTTAGTCAGTGTTTTGGGTTTCAGTCCTGTCTGTTGTCTTGTGTCTAGTTTACTCTGTGTTTTGATTTTGGTTTCTCAGGGTTTTGGTTTCTTGTCTTAGTGTTACTCCCGGTCAGTGTTCCTTGTTGGTGTTAGTTTATTTGTGATCTGTTTGCTTGTGTCTGTTCCCCCAGTAATTCCTCTGCCTGCTTGTCCACTAAATACTTTGAGTTCCAATTAATGTATGGTCTTGTGTTTTGCATCTGTGTGTTGCTCTGTTCCCCCATGCTGTCCCTCTGCCTCCCTGCCTTTCTGTTCCCCCCTGTTGTCTTTGCCTGCCTGCCTGTCTCGGTTTTCCCTGCCGTCTCTCTGCATGCCTCGTTAACCTGATCCCTGTCACCTGTGTTGCTCCCATCCCTGCTCGTTAATCACTGTGTATATAGTAGGAGGTTTCTGTCCTCCCTGAGGTCGCCTTAAATTGTCCTTATAGGACACCTGCGTTACTGGGTGACAGGTGTAGGCCTACTGCCCCAGTCAAACTCCCTACTTTCAGTCTTTGACTGTTGTGGTATAGCTTTGCCTTACTTTTTATTTCCTCTTTTATTTCCTCTTATTTTATTTCTCATTTTATTGTAGCCTATGTATCAAACACTAAGGCAAATTGGCAAACAGTGAAAACCTACTTGGTAATAAAACATATTCTGATAAATATGAATTATTATTATACCAAATAACAACAATAATACACTGAGTAGTACAATAATAATAAATACATAAACTACTATTTTAAAGGACACAATATTGAAACTTTTCTGTGTTTTAGGCCATAACCCATAAGTCCTGCAGCCTCATCCTCTCCTGGTAAACTTCCTCACTGTCAGTCTTTTTGGCTGAGATGTCTCGAGAATCGGTATTGACTAAAGTAAATTGATCAAATACCAATTATTTCTTTACTGTACTACTGTGTTTTGTCAGCCTCAGCCTGCTTGTGTTGTAGCACTGCTAACTGATAAGTGTGAAAAGCTCTGGATCGGCCTCTTAGACTCTTGAATTCTGACACCTGGATTAGTGAAATGCATAAAAACGCTTCACTCTGACACTAACACCTGCTCTCAAGTCTGTCTTCTCTCCTCTCTCTTTTTAGCAAATATTAAAGTAGGCCTACTAAAGTGGTGGGGACATAGGGGCTCTGATTATGGGTGTGATGATGCATGAGAATAAGACTTTTTAAAAGATTTTTAACAATATTTTAAAGAAATATGAAATGCTGAAATATAAGAGCGGGGGTCTGGGGCCCTCCCCATAAGACTGAAGCATTAAACACATTCCTGCATTCTGGTGAAATTTTCTGCTACAATTTACAATGGAAATGTCTTTATTTAAAGAAAGAGAAACAATAAATTCAGCTGGCTGCTGACAATTTCTAAATATAGAAATATAACTATATAATGTAGTAATCAGCAGCTTGGTATTGTGCTTTTTTTTGGACAATGCACATTTGTTTCTACTATATTTTGTGCAAATAAACCTCTCATAAAGCATTTTAATTTGTCAGTCAACATTTGTTGGTGCAAATTATTTTGTCAGTTTTAACAAATGTTTTGGGGACAAAATCAGCCATTTCAAAGTGTGGTAGGGACATGTCCTCAGAGTCCCCAGTGTAAATGACGATGGGGCAATAGCAGCTTCTCACTTTCTGGCACTGACTGTCGCTTTCACCAAAAGAAAATTAACTAATGTCGCTGGTGGCAGGTCATATCAGCTGTCACTAATTAAATTGTGTGAGTAGGCCTAACTTCCCAACATGCCAAAATTAAACTTTGCTGTTGTTGTATTTTTGCTGTGTCTGCAACCGGAGTTTGCACGCAGCCAAAGGCCATTTATGAGGACAGGTTTTGTGGTACGGGCTGCTTCTCTATAACAGCAGTCACATTCTCTCACTTACACTTTCATTCATATGAATTAGCCTACTTAAACTCATCAATTTAATTGCTTTAATAGTTAAAACCATAGACTGTACTGAAGTAGAGGACTTTAGAACTGGTCTCTTTGTCTCCCTGCAGCTGGGCTTTATAGGTTACCAGGCAATTCCAGCGCTATCGCCTCCTGCTGGTCTGCCTGGAGTACAACAACCAGCTGGCACATAAACTTAAATCTTCAGTGATCTTCAGTGAGAATGTTAAAACCTACTCCATGAAAATGTTTAGTTGAATTTATATGTTTTCTCCCTGAGTTTGAAAGTAAACTGTACATTTTTTATCTGTGTAGAGATAACTTTCATGGCAATCCAACGTATAGTTGCTGAGACGTTTCACTTCGGATTCTCTGTTGGTGGACATTTTAGGTTTTTCAGCTCTGTTGACAGACTTGGCTTAACTTTTAATCTAATCTAATATGTGTTTTGCATTTATTTATTTAGCATGGCAGAAAACTGCCTGTCTTTACTATCCTGTGCCTACAGCCTTATTCTGTATTCATGATTTTACCAGCTGAGAATATTCTTTATTATTTCTTTATTCTTTCTGTACTGACTGTCAAGTTGTTGCACTTTATAAGCTGTTATTGCTAATATGCTGCCAGTTAAACAGTTAACAAAAGTTTAAACAAGTGAAAGCCGCCTGTCTTTCCAGATATTTTGTGTTCTGTATATTCAACATACACAACACATACACCACAAATATGGTGGGTATTAATACCCAAGTTTATTATATTAATAGGTTTATCCAGTTTGATTCTCTAATGTTTATTCTCCACAGTGATTTTATTATTCAGCAAAATTATTATCAATCTTAGTACAAAAACAAATATGTAGGTTTTTCATAAAGCCAGAATGTTTAATGTTATTTTCTTTTGATAACCCCTCTACAACCAAAAGAAATTCTTGTGTCTTGTATTTAATTGTATTTGGGAGTATGTGGTACTGTTCCCTGTGATATCCTCTCAGTATACAGGGAGTGGACAAAATAACAGAGTCACAGAATATGACAGGCCTGCAGTAAACACCAATTTGGTAAAGCATACTGTTGAAGATGATGAAAGGTTTTTTTTTACATTTTCTGAAAACCAGAGGCCCAACAGGGATTTCACAAGAGCTAATAGGGTTTACAACTCTTTGGCTATGTTCTTCATGGCTTGAAATATTCCTTCCATAATGATTATATATGGATCCTTTCCTTAAGGGTAGCAAGTGTCATTTCCATTTTATTGAGCTTATTTTATAATTTAACAAAACATAGGCTAATATCTTTTGAACAGAAGAACATGAATGATTCTCATCGCTGAGATCTGCAACACTTGGTAGACATGCTAATAAATCAGAATGAATGATTTTATGGCAGAAATAACATCAGCACAAGTGGCATCAAACATCTTAATGTCAGGATATCTAAAACATGATGTCACTGTTAGAAACTATTGAATCTGATATTTTAAGTGCACATAATCTCAAAAATAAAAACTAGTTTTTTTATGAGGTGATTTTTGACACTTTTGATGATAGCTAGCTAAATTAGCTAACAAAGCTATTAGCTACCACTACAATCTACATTGCTCAAACTATTCGTCTCTGAATTGTAACAGTGAATCTTTAATTAAATGTCTTGTATGTAAGAAAACACTAGAAACATGAGAAAATAGCTGACTCAGGCTGACAGCAGGACTTATAATGGTGGCTACCTCGTTAGCTGCCATTAGTCAATTTTCTGGACTGCTTCAATTGTTTATCTTGAGAAGGACAGGGTAGGCATGTTGTTAAATGCCAAACAAGCAATCCTAGAAGCCTAAATATAATACACAGTCAAAAAATAGACAAATTTAGATTAAAATCACAAACTATCTGAGGAAAGATTATTAAAATAAAAGATCTGACCAGACATTTAATGCTAGCTTTCAATAAATTACTGTTTTTTGTAATTGGTACAGAGCCCTAGTCTTATTATATTATTTTAATTTAAAAAAAATTAAAAGTTAAACACAATCTCCCTTTTGTGTCTTTAGCAATTGTCACTGTTTTGAAGTTTCGTAATAAAGGGAACTAATTGATTCAGTGGACATCATGGAAATCTCAGACTCAGCCTCGTCTAGTATTTTCTTCAAGACACTTAGTTAACACATTATCACCTGTAAAAAACAAAAGTAGTTAGTTATCAATTACTAATACTGGTTTGGGCAACGTAAAATTCTTGTCCCTTGAAAAAACAAGATGTCAGACTGAATACACTACGGTCGGTAGGTAGGCCCTTAAAAATGATTTTGCTATGGTATTTACCTGAAAAGTGGAATGAAATCTTGACCTGTTCATTTAATCTGTGTTAAAAACCCTGATTTAACTCAACATCATGTGTTGAAAACCAAATATAAGATACTAATCTATAATAAAAATGATCTTCAGAAATCCACAACTGTTTAAAATTGCTGTCATGTGTAAATACATTACATCTCAAAGGCTTGAAGATAATTCAACTAAGCAAAGATTTGTCTTTTCTTTTTGGACATGAAATAATGACAATAATTTGAAAAATATGAATATAATAAATGTGCACTTCAATTCATCACAACAAAGGCACATGGTCCAATACAGTGAGGACCAAATATCATGTGGTATTAGTGTTAAGGTAATGAAAACGACCTCATCACACAACAGCAATTTTTTGGCTTATGTAATCATTCACATCTTGGCTTTGAGAGTTGGGCTGCAGTAGAGATTGTGCTGTAGAAAGCTTAAGATCTTCCTCCAGGCGTCTTCCTGAGCATCTGAATGGGGTTTGGTTTGTCCTCCCCACAGCATTATGACTGAAACACACAATGTTGTGTTTGAGAGAAGCTTCTAAGTAGCAAAACCTAAGATTAAATTGTCAAATTGTTAGAAAAATGACAAAAGCGCTCTCAGAAAGGAGACACAAATGCGTAGTGATCAAAAGGAGGGAGTTTGAGATATCAACCCTCAACAGACAGCTGAAGCGACCCAAAGGAGGAGGTGAAAGGTTTGCTTTCCCTAAGTACTGTTTTTGGGCAGTTCGATCGTAAAACTTACCACCTTTGGCAGCAGCCGAGATAAGACTCAGTGCCTGACTGTGAACAAAGGAATACTGTCTCCTCAAAACTCAAAGCATTATAATAATAATAATAATAATAATAATCCTTATTTGTAGAGCACTTTTCAAAAACAAGTTACAAAGTGCTTTAACAAGTGTAAAGAATAATACAAAAAAACAAGTTAAGAGCATGAAAAATTTATATAAAATTAGTAAAATACAATTAAATAAAAGGGATAAAATAAAGTCAAATAAGATCGGGAAAAGCTCTCCTATAAAAGTATGTTTTAAGAAGGGACTTAAAAGAGTTCACTGACTCAGCCGACCTGATTTCCTCAGGCAGGCTGTTCCAGAGCCTCGGGGCCCTGACAGCAAACGCTCTGTCCCCTTTAGTTTTCAGTCGAGACTCTGAAACAGACAACAGACCTCTGCCCGAGGATCTCAAGGTACGTGCTGGTGCGTATGGGACTAAAAGTTCAGAAATATAACAAGGCGAGAGGCCATGAAGAGCTTTAAAAGTAATCAATAGAATTTTAAAGTCAATTCTAAAACATACTGGGAGCCAGTGTAATGAAGCTAAAATAGGGGTAATGTGGTCATATTTCTTTGTTCTGGTTAAAAGCCTGGCAGCTGAGTTCTGGACAGTCTGGAGTCGATCAATAGATTTTTGGGTTAAACAGGTGAAAAGGCTGTTGCAATAATCCAGGCGTGATGAGATGAAGGCATGTAAAATGGTCTCGGTGTCCTTAAAAGTTAACATAGATTGAATTTTTGCTATATTTCTAAGTTGATAAAAACATGATTGAACAAGCTTTATGGTGTGCTGCTTGAAATTTAAATTACTATCAAACCAAACACCAAGTGTCTTTGACCACAGGCTTAATGTCAAAGGCAAGGAAAACAAAATGGGTCCTAAGACCGACCCCTGAGGCACACCATATTTAACTGGACAAAACAAAGAGACATAGTTGTTTACAGACACACAGAACTTCCTATTTGACAGGTAGGATGAAAACCATTCTAGGGCCGTACCAGAGATCCCCACCCAGTGCCTCAGTCTGTCTAACATGATGTTGTGATCAATGGTGTCAAAAGCAGCGCTAAGGTCCAGGAGTACCAGGACTGAGCACATACCTTCATCAGCAGACATTAAAAGGTCACTGGTGACTTTAAGCAGGGCAGTCTCAGTGCTGTGGTACTTCCTAAAACCAGACTGAAACTTTTCAAATAATTTGTTATTTTCCAGTACAGTGAGCAGCTGTTTGGACACAATTCTTTCTAAAATCTTTGCAATAAAAGGCAGTTTTGAAATTGGTCTAAAATTATGTGGGAGGGAGGGATCTAAACCAGGTTTCTTTAAAAGTGGGTTCACGCAAGCCATTTTAAAACAATCAGGGACACAACCAGTAGATAGGGAGCTGCTGAAAACAGAGATCAAATGGGGCCCAACAGAATCCATTACTTTCAGTAAAAACTTTGTAGGTATTACATCAAGTGGGCTGGAGGACACTCTCATTTGTGATACTGTTTTTAAAAGCTCAGACAAGTCGATGGGATAAAACTGGTTAAAACTCTCTTGTTGCTGGTGAGGGACCTCTGAGTAAGAGGCCACGGGGGTAATAGAGGCTCTGATTGACACCACCTTATTGGTAAAATAAGATAAAAACAATTCACAGTCATCATTACTTCCAGCTGAGGCACAAGGAGGGGTTGGGTTTACCAGCTGATCCACAGTCTTAAACACAAACCTGGGATTGTGTTTATGTGTAGTAATGAGTTCAGAAAAATAGTTACCTTGTTAATTAAATAATCTTTAAGTTACAGGTCTCTCCACTCCATTTGAGTAGTTATGTTACCATGTTGTTGTTGTTGTTGAAAAGAATAATCCATAAATAAGTTAATTTTGTAGTGCTTTAATTTTCAGCAAGGATCCCTGACATTTCTTCAATTTATGTTGTTCCCAACACTTTCTGACACTTCCTTTAGAAATTATATGATAAAGAAATGTTATCCTATGCTACTTGATTCATTTTACAGCTCGAATTTAATGTAAATAACTCATTTCCCCAGTTCCTGAGCAAATGATTGTTTAAATAAATAATCATTTGCTATCTTCAGTCTCCTCATGGAACCAGAGTTCCTTCAAGAGGACCAAATAAGAATTACATGCCATCGTTCTGAAATGTCGTTTTAATGTATAAATGCCACTCTGTATTTATCCGTTCGTAATCTGATGCCATGTTCGTGTAACTTGCTTATATTCTCCAAGTAAGAATGTGTAGCAGCCAATATTATCCAGGAAGCTAGTTAAGTTCCTTTCATCTGATGTAATTCCTATGAAATGCTAACCATTTTTAAGGTTTAACTACTGACAATTGTTTTCCTTTTTATCAAATGCTTAAAACTAAGAATGGTAACCGTTTGACAATCAAGGTTTGATTGTGGGAAGATATTTTATTACAATACGCGCAAATAGGTTTTAGAATAGACATATTAAAAGTTAAAAGACCGGAAACAAGCCCTCAGGGGAACAAAGCCAAGCCCCCTGGGAACACGGCCCAACAAACAAAAGCAGTGATAGGCGCTCGCTCGCTCTCTCTTGGCTCTCTTCTCTTGTTCGCGCAGCCCTTGGACTTGGCACGTGCTCAACGTGCTCCGTCTTCCAGCAACGCCCTAAGAAGTCCGGCCGCGAAAACTCTTTTGTTCTTTTCAAGCCACACACGCGAAGCGCAGCGTCCTCTGCTTTTCCCTCATTTCCAGCAACTTACTTGTTTTTTGTATTTTATTTTGTTTTGTTTGTTGAAAGTTATCAGACCGTTAAGTTACACAATTTTAATTCAAGAACGACCGAGTTCTTTTAAGCTTTATTCTGTCGAGCTAACTTACACTGCTCCCACCGTAGCCCGGACCTAGCCACGTGGGCCCGTCTTGCCAGCAGTAACCCAAAGGACATCCAAACCAGAACAGAGCCTAACTGCCAGGCCGAGGACGGTCGCCACTGGAGTGTTTATCTTCATTCAGACATGGAGAACCCCCGGAAAATTCCCTATCAGAAAGCCAGGAATCGGGCAGTTAGCGCGGGGACACGTGCAACAGGGCAAGGCAGGCCAACGACACCCAGTAAGGCTAAAACCCGGAATTCTGTGATCAGTGATGTCCAATACTCTGTTAATCCGTTATCTTTAATCCTTAAAACTCATAGCCAAATTTAAATGAGTTATTATTTTAGCTTATGTTTATTAGTTGCCCTTATGAATCAAATTCTCCCCACAAGAATTTATATAGAACTTCACATTCTCATTGTTTGCCCCATGTTTGTTTAGCCATTGTTAATTTCTTTGATGTATATTTAACTGCATTTATATCCACCTTTAGTTAGTTAATAAATTTCACCGTAATCACAGGAATTGTGTGTGTGTATTTCTAAGTCCCTGTCACGGAGGACTTACTCCTTCGATATGAGATTGACCAATTGATTTAAGATAATTGAGCGATTATTAACTAACTGATCACTAGTGAATAATTGTATAATTATTAAAACGTTACCCAGAGGTCCGGAGACTCTGGGTGAACTGAATCTCCGGTGGTGCCCTATTTTTGAGGTTTATGAGTTAATATTTCTGAAATATTAATTTTCATAAGTTTATTAAAAATCACACGTAGACCTGCTGCAAATGTTTGCATTGTACATTTGAAGGTTGTATTCAGGCTGTCAAACTGATGTGAAACAAATAAAGGCAGAAGCTAAAGCCTACAGATCACAGAGTAAAAGTGAACCACCGCATCACCTGATGACTGAGACAGAGGATAACGATATCAAGGATTAACATGATATCAAGGATTAACAAAAAACTATGACAATAAATTAATTTTGAGTTACTTGTACTTTACTAGAGAAATTCTATTTCGCTTTACTTTTTACTTTACATTTCAGAGGGAAATTGTGCATTTTACTCACTATATTACAATTAGTTACTTTTCATTCATACTAATAATACAAAATATTATCAACAAATAAAAATATATTGTCGTAAATTTAGTTACACAGCACATAAATCTAAAAATAACTGTAATCCAATAATAAAATATACATTATTCTAAAATGGACTATTCTGCATAATAGGTACTTTTACTTTTGGTTCTTTAAGTATATTTCTACACTAATACTTTTGAATGCAGAACTTTAACTCACCTTTCTGTTTTGTGTAATGTATTATAAAGTTAGAAGCCCTGACGTGAGGTGAGTAGGGCGGCTCAATCAGATGTCCAGTGTTGGGGTATTGTACTCTGGTCAGCAGGTGCTCCTTCCCTGCAGCCTGCATCATCTGGGCGATCTGAGAGTCAAAGGTCAAATCAAAACAGCACAAACTGACAATTTGATTTACTAGGGAACCAGCAGATGGCAGTATTTGATTTGCCATCTGCTGGGACCCAATGACCAGGATTTCTGTTTTGTCTGAGTTCAGCTGGAGGAAATTATTTGACATCCATTTTTTTACTTCACAAAGGCAGTTGTTAAGTGAACTCAACATTCCAGGGTCTGTGGATCTGACGGGCAAGTATATTTTTGTGTCATCAGCATAAATATGAAAAGAAATACCATGTTTATGGATAATACATCCAAGGGGAAGCAGATACAAGGAAAACAAAATGGGTCCTAAGACTGACCCCTGAGGCACACCATATTTAACTGGACAGAACGAAGAGACATAGTTGTTTACAGACACGCAAATTTCCAATTTGACAGGTAGGATGAAAACCATTCTAGGGCCGTACCAGAGATCCCCGACCAGTGCCTCAGTCTGTCTAACATGATGTTGTGATCAATGGTATTTAACGTTACATTCAGTAGTAAATTAGGTAGCATTAGCTAAGTTACATTACATTAGGAACAATCCACAGCCTACATTTTTTTGGATTTGTTTTGATGTTTTTGGAAAGGGAATAAATCGAATTTCTCCTTTCAACCTCTCTGGGTGGCAACTATAACTGTTACACGTGCCCCATGAACAGCGTTTGACCATATCTTGGAAAAATACAGCAAAAAAAAGCTAGAAAACGACTCCTTTTGCATTCGAGTCAATGGAGCACCGCAATAAAAGTCTGAGCAAGACCCATGTTGGGTTGTGATTGACTAACTGCCTTTTTGGGGCGTGGCTTAGCGAAGTGTCAATTGTCTGCGGGCACAACTCAGCACAAGACTGGTGAATGGCAGACGTGCAGAGCAGAGAGAAAAGGGTCAACAATATGCTGGTTAGTTATAAATGTACAGTGTAAGTTACATTAACTAATGTAATGTGTAACTAACATTCCCAATAAAATCTCAATATGTGTCAGAATAATTGGAAAATAATTTTCTTATTAAATATCATATCGTTACATCTACAGTAGCCCTTCATTGTCAGCTGTGTGTTTGTACTTACATCCTCAGCACACTCCACTGTGGCCCAGACGTGATCGTCTTCGCTGTTGACCAACAACATTGGACAGTTTATTTTCCCTACCTCAAAGAGAATTAACCACAAGGACCAACTTTAATATGTGTCCGTTAGAATAAACTGATATGAGGCATCGTATTTTTAATTGCACAAGCGCCATGACAAGCACACCCGTTTGCAAAACTATTGACATTTCCATCAGCCTCAGCTGTAATTTCTGCTTTGTGCTAATTAGCATTTGTTAGCATGCTAGTGCAGATGGTAAACATTATACTGCTAATCACTGTGAACATGTTAGCAGGCTGACTAGGGATGTGACGAGATCTTAATCTTATTAAAACTTAACAATATTTCTTGTCTAGGTGAAAAGCTCAGTGAGCATTTTGGGGACCCAGTGGAAACAGTCTTGTCTTGTTCTCATGAACCCAATATCGTGTATCTTCTCGTGAGCTAAGCATATCGTCACACCCCTAATGCTATCTTTAGCATTTAGCTCAAAACACCATTGTGTGTAAGTACAGCCTCACAGAGCTGCAAGCATGAATGTAAATTTCTTGTTTGTGTCACCTCTCAGACGAAGTCTGTTTTCTTTCTTCTAAAATACACTAAAATAAATACAGATACAAAATAGAGATGCATACAGTAATTGGAACAAGTATTAATTGGATCTTTGATTATAAAAGAGCTGAAGAGACACAGTTTTTTTGGTTTGTAAAACACAAAAACATGTTGGCACAACTCAAACAGTATGAGAAATAAACCTAGTCAAGAACAGACTGCATGAAGAGTTCCTGCTTATAGATGCAAAAACATGTAACTGAACTGAACCTATTTGTCTGATACTTATTGATGAATTCCACATATAAAACCAAAAGTGCATTATACCACTAATAACAGAAAAACAGTACTTACGTCCACTTTCTTTGATAGGTCACTGGTAAGTCCTAGACCCATATCTCGCCATATTTGATAGTTGTTCTCATCCACATGCATCATGTGAGAATTCCTGCCATCACAATGTTCACGATGTTCACATAATTGCAACTGTGAAACTCTGAGTTTTGTTTTTATGTTACTTACAGAACAGAGTACCTACTTGAGCAACAGTTCAAAGACTCCTCTGAGGGGCCCTCCACGCCGATAACCATGGCTGCCGCTGACACAAACACAACAACGAGGCTAGAACACAACACAGTGATACACCATAAGATGGAGGCTCCAAACTGTTTCAGGCGAGGCTCAGTGAGTGAAAGTGCATCCAGGAATAGAGCACAAACTAAGCCAGAAGACTTAAAACAAAAAAACATGCATCAAGGGATTTTAATTCTTTGGTTAAAAGAAAAGGAGATCTCAAACCTGCCAACTCTCTGCACTCCGTGGGACCTGCTTAACAGCCACATATTCAAGGCTAAAGAAAAAGTGACTCCAATATGTTCTGTATTTGTTACTTGCCTTGATAACGGTGCTCTCAGCTGCCAAATACATGGTCACAGTCGAGCCGAGGGAAAGACCAAGTAGTCCAATTTTCTCTGGGATCACTTGAGGATGGTCTTTGAGAATACAAAATGCTGTCTGTGCAGAAGTAAAATACAGGAAATGAAGAAAAGAGCATTCTTTTACCAGCTATTTGAAGGACAGGAGGGCGCAGCACGATCATTTGCAATTGTTCTTGCTGACATCCCCAGCTCAACCTGGCTTTAGTGATCTGTATTTAACTGCACTGTAACAAAATAATCTCAACTTGTAAAAGGTTTCCTAACAGACTTTTTTTGGAACAGAAAATTGTGTAGTTCACAGTGAGATGCAGTCAATCAAGATTTCCTGTACTGTATATTTAAAAAGAAAACAGACAGCACTGCCTCTGTTGATTTATGTACTGTATATTTTTATTTAAATGTGGTGCCCAAGCCCACAGAGACAGTCCAAAAAAGCATGACCCTCAACATTACCTTCAGACAAACTGTAATCTCTGAGACCAAAATATATCTTCCAAATATAAATAAAAATACAGCATGTATTTAATTCCCAAATAGGCATTATTTGGATAAACTGAACACATATTTTAAATCTAAACTTGACAAAACTGATCAGTGACAAATGCATTCTGGGATATATGACTTTTCCAAATGAGAGGAGCAATAATTCATCAAGCATGCCAGGCATGTTCCAATTGTGTTCATTTAAATTGATTTTAAACAGGATTTTTTTTAATTATTAATGCTCCAGAAGTAGATATTGTTACAGTATTATTTCATACATTTGAGCCTCACAGTACGACAGTTGTGGGTTCAAACCCCTTTCTGTGTGGAGTTTGCATGTTCTCCCCGTGTCTGCATGGGTTTTCTCCGGGTGCTCCGGCTTCCGTCGAAAGACATGCGGACTAGCTTGATTGGTGATTCTAGATTGTCCTTAGGTGTGAGAGTGAGGTGGTTGTTTGTCTATGTGTGGCCCTGGCGATCTGTCCAGGGTGTACCCCACCGTTTGCCTTTGGGATTGGCTCCAGCCCCCTGCGACCCTGTATGCAGGACAAGCAGTTGACGATGGATGGACATTTGAACTGACAATGTTATTTTTGTGTGCCACAGAATAGTGCGTAAGCAACTCTTTAGTGCGAGGCCTGGGCAGCCAGGGAAATACAAGTTATTCAGGTCAGCTACTCCATAATTTTTCCAAGTTATAATACCCCCTGGGGTGCAAGTATCCCTGGATTAGAGTTATCATAATTTCCAAAAGCCCAATGAGACGTCTTCAGATGTCTTGTCTTGTCTGACAAATAGCCCAAAACCCAAAGATGTTCTGTTGATTACAACATAAAATAAATAAATACTCACAACTGAGATTTCTATCTACATAATCGCGAGTCCCCCTTACATGGAGGTCGCCATGCAGGTGCGCGGGAAGACATTTTCGCTAAGGGGGGGCTGCACAGTAGAAATTCGCACATGAAATGACTTTGTGTGGGCACACACTTACACACTTTCCTTCAACAGAGAGTGGTTACAAGCATGGTCGTATGACATAACTTCATATTTATCTTGTCCACTGTGTGGACCCAAAACATTGGACAAGAACATGCTAACACACGGCTAATTAGCACCAACAAGACTACCAAGAAGCAGGAGACCTGTGTACTGGGTAATAAATCTGAAAGTGGGAGTCCTCCCTGGAAAGCTCTTGGTGCAAAGCCTAAGAGTAAATCATTTTCTGGGGAAATGGGAGGACGAGTAACAAGCAGAACCCAGCGCCCTGAGATTTGTGATGCGACTGGCTGACCTGCATTATCATCCAGGCAGAGCGCCTCTTCAACCCCTGTTCTTGGTAGGACACAGCCATGGACAGCTGCGAAAGCAACAAACCGCCCCAAAAACCAAGTGTGCAACAGCAGAACAGATTTTCACCACTATTACAGGACCCTGGATCTCCGTCTGATGACCTGGATAACATCCTATCCTCACACAGAAGGGTAAGGACTGAGAGTAAATCAGAAAGTAAAAGGCTGCAGGGAAAGCTAACGACTGGGCCTCAAACTCTGATTATGGGTGACTCTGCTGTTAACGATGTAAGAAGCATGTGCAGTAAGAACACCAAAATACTCTGCTTTCCGAAGGATACGGTGTCTGACTTGGCAGAAAAAATCCTGCATATTGTAACTGAACATCCTACTGCGAAAAACATCATACTGCACATTGGGGCCAATGATGTTGCGAAGCAGTCTGAAGTGTTGAAAGAGGACTTTAATAATCTGTTGAACACTGACTACTTTGTTTTTATAGGTAATCACACATCTGAGCTGACAAAAATTACATTAGATTACATTTATTCATTTAGCTGACGCTTTTATACAAAGCGACTTACAATTGCTATACATGTCAGAGGTCTCACGCCTCTGGAGCAACTAGGGTTAAGTGTCTTGCTCAGGGACACAATGGTGGATGTCTCACAGAGGGGAATCGAACCCAGGTCTCCCACACCAAAGGCAAGCATCTTATCTATGCCACCCCAATGTGGAGTTCCCCAAGACTCCATTCTGGGGCCTCTTTTGTTTAACATTTACATGCTTCCACTGGCTTAGATTATGAAAAACAACAAAAGATGTTACCATAATTATGCAGATGACACACAGATTTACATAACCATTTCACCAGGGGACTATGATCCCACACGGGTGCTGAGTAACTGTATTGAGCAGGTCAACGGCTGGATGTGCCAGAATTTTCTTCAATTGAACAAAGACAAAACTGAAGTTATTGGGTTTTTTTTTATTGGAACGATTGAAAGTCAGCGCTCGACTTCAATCTGTAATGTTAAGAAACACAAATCAAGCCAGAAATCTTGGTGTAGTCATGGACTCAGACCTGAATCTGAGGAGCCACATTAAGACAATTACAAAGACAGCTGCAGCTGATTCAGAACGCTGCTGCTCGAGTCCTCACTAAGATCAAAAAGGAGGATCACATCACTCCAGTTCTGAGGTCTTTACATTGGCTTCCTGTATGTCAAAGAATTGATTTAAAAATCCTGCTGTTAGTTTATAAAGCACTAAATGGTTTAGGGCCAAAATACATTTCTGATCTTCTGCTTCGTTACGAACCATCCAGACCTCTCAGGTCGTCTGGGGCAGGTTTGCTTTCTGTCCCCAGAGTCAAATCTAAACAAGGAGAAGCAGCGTTCAGTTATTATGCTCCGTATATCTGGAACAAACTCCCAGATAACTGCGGGTCTGCTGAAACTGTCAGTTCTTTTAAATTAAGACATGGTAAAAACGTTCCACCGTTTTACCACAAGCTAAAATTATGGCTATTACGACTACTTTGTGTTTCTATTGTATTTTTAAAAAAAAAATGTTTTAATTATTTTGGTAAGATATGCAGATTGCAGCGAGTGAGCATTTTGCAATTTGCAACCCTCAGTACTTGATGTCACTAAAACTTACACACTTAAAGGTTCAGTGTGTAATATTTCTGAGGATCTATTGACAGAAATGCATTATATTATCCATAACTATGTTTTCAGTGGTGTGTAAAGACCTTACAGAATAAACCATTATGTTTTTATTACCTTAGAATGAGCCATTTATCTATCCATAACCGCGGGTCCCGCCTTCCATGGACGTCGCCACGTTGCATTGTCATGTTTCTACAGTTGCTGAAAACAGACAAACAGCGCTACAGAGCTCGTTTCGTCACTACGTTCTTCTTGTTCTACTTCTGGTAGAATTCAGGCAGTGCAGACACTCATCACTATGTTGAATATATGCGTTAGAAGAAATAGAAGTAGTAATAATATACAGCATGGGTCAACAAATAAATTTTACATTAGAGCATTAGAGTTTTCAACCACTAGATGGTGGATAACACATAATATTGACTTGAATCAATATGTTGTTCAGTTAGCTTAGTTGGTAAGGTGCATGACCTGCAAACCATAGGTTGAAATTTTTTTTCCTCTCTTCAACAAATGGATTCTGCAGCGAATGTTTTTCAGATCACGGCATTTGCTGCACTGTTTTTGTTTCAGTGTTTGAGCCACATCCATCAACCTATGAACGCTTTTGCAACTCCCCAGTATCTCCAGGTAGAGGACATTTAGGGGAATCACGTTTTCTGAAGGCTCTTTCAGAGGTGTGTCAAGCAGGCTTCAGACTCTTAATGTTGTTCAGGATTTTAAGTAAAAGCTCAGTTCAACTCCAAATACAGCATTGCATTAATCAAGCTTTTCGCACTTTTATTTTGTAGGCAATACCACAAAGAGGAAGTGATTATGTGAGTAACTGTTGCTGCCATGACTGAGATCTATTTCAAAAGTATTTATTTTTTTAGATTTTTTGCCACTATCAAAGAACCATAATCTGTTACTGATATTATTGTTGGCAGACAGTTTTAATGCGTTTCTCTTGTCAGTGTTACTATAAACTTTATCAATGGACTGTGGTGCAGAAACAGTGACAGTGTTTCACACTCTTGGCTTACATTTTCCATGTTATCTGTCAGTAGCCAAGTCACAATAACATATGGTTTTACTGAAAAATTAAGTAAATATAATTTCTTAATAAATATACCTAAAGAAACCTCATTTCTTGAATGCGCACTCTCTGCTGTCTCAGAAGAGACACCTTTTGTGCTGTGAGAGCCACCGTAGCTGTCCTACGTTCTTTGTAAGGGTAGGGGGCAAGTGGTAGACTGGACAGATGGTTGCAATTCACAACCCTCACCACTAGATGCCACTAAATCTTACACACTTAACCTTTAACCATTGAAAAATAAAAATAAAATGCCTGATACAATTTACACAGAACTCAGGAGGTAATAAAATAACACAAACCTCAAAAAGGTTCAACTCTACATCTGCTGACCTCTGTTCACAGGGTGCGAAATACTCCAGCGCAAAAGAAACATAACCACGGGAAGCCAGCAAGGCCGAACGATACTCGACCAGCCCTCCACCGCCTCCCCACATATCCAACAGCCCGGGGAAGGGTCCTGGACCTGAGGCAAGAAGAAACAGATTATTAAAATGGTCTGAGGGCGGGTTCACGCCTAAAGGCCTGGTTCCTGAATTGAACCAATGAGAGGATGATACATGATTTTCCAAGTCTGGTTTTAGTTCAGAATTTCAGCTTTTATTTCCTGGTATTCACATCTAGATGTGTCAAAGAACTCAGGACATATCACTATTTGTATTAGACCACAGCATTCTTTGGGGAGCAAATGTAATGGAACAAATAATCTTAAAGTAAATAACATTATTAAGGCATAATCCTTGCTTGCAATAACTGTCTCAAGCCTGCGACCCATCGCCATCACCAAACTGTTGCATTCTTCATTTGTGAAGCTATTCCAGGCTTTTACTGCAGCTTCTTTCAGTTCTTGTTTGTTTCGGGGTGTTTCTCCCTTCACCCTCCCCTTAAGGTGAAATGCATGCTCTGTTAGGTTAAGGTCAGTTGATTGACTTGGCCAGTCTAAAACCTTCCACTTTTTCAGCCATGCACACCCGAGCCATGACATTACCTCCACCATGCTTCACAGATGAGCTTGTGTGCTTCGGATCATAAGCGGTTCCTTTCTTTCTCCACACGTTGGCCTTTTCATCACTTCTCATCATCTCTGTACTTCTTTGCAAATTTAAATCTGGCCTTCCGATTCTTCCTGCTGATGAGTGGTTTGCATCTTGCAGTGTGGCCTCTGTATTTCTGCTCTCTGAGTCTTCTTCCAACAGTGGATTGTGATACCTTCACTCCTGCACTGTGGAGGTCGTTGGTGATATAACTTACTGATGTTTTGGGGGTTTTCTTTTGTCCTGAGTTGTTTAACACATCTAGATGTGAATACGAGGAAATAAAAGCTGAAATTCTGAACTGTTGTCTCAGACTCATCTTTTGATCTGAAACCAAAATGTCTTCAGTGAACAACAAAAACAAAGAAATTTGCCTTACCGTTCCAATACTTTTGGAGGGGACTGTATCCCTACACATAAGTTAAATATATCAAAAGGTTAGCCTGTTATTACATATTGTACGTATTTGTTGTTATAGTATTTTTATTTTTATCTCTTTCATATTTTGATTGTATTTTTTTTGTTTCATTATATTTATCCTGAAAATCACTATCAAGCAATCTTTTGCCTTTATGCTCCAAGTGAGATTTCTGTCCTCCCTGAGCTCACCTTACGACACCTGCGTTTCCGTTTGACAGGTGTACCGCCCCAGTCAACCACCCCAACTTCTCTTCTTGACTGTTGCAGTACTTTCTGGTTCTTTTTATTTCTGTATTTATTGTACCAAACACCAAGGCAAATTGGCAATCAGTGAAAACCTGGCAGCTACAGTTGCCAGCATGAAACTGTTATTCTACAGTGTAACTACTGTAATCAGTAGCTTACTACTGTAAAAAAAAAAAAATGCAGTAATGTGCTGTATAGAATATAAGCATTACAGTATAATACTGTTTGTTTGGTTGCAGTTATACTTACTGCATACTTACTATACTTACTGCAGTTATTTTAGTGTTCTCCTGTGATCTCCATAAACAGGTTATTACTGTACAATGTATTAAAGTACTGTAGAATTTAATTTTACAATATAACACTACTGTAAGCTAATGATTTTAACATTTTACATTTCAAAACAAAATACCTCAAAATTGCTAGCATACAAATGGCTCAGACGAGAATTGGCCTTACAATATTTGGCATTTATTAAAGTCAATGTGAGAAATTTTAAAATAAGTACATTTCTTTAAAATACAATACAGTAACATGCAATTTCTGAAGCGGTTCTTGCTTTACTAGCCTCGTCCATGTACCCTATATTCAGTTTAATTTTTGATTGAACAAGAGGTGGCCATGTAACATTATGTATTAAAGCCACTGCTTCATACACCTTAAGCAGCTAACAAATTTCAAGTACTGTAATTCTTGTAAAATACAATCCATAACAATAATTAATCATCTCAAGCAGGTTCTTTCAACAATTTTCATACCATACTTAAAACTGTACCCTGCCTTCAGTGTCCATGAGTTATGATGATGACGTGCAATAGAAAGCGAATGAGATAGAAATAGAAACAAACCTGGAACTATCACTACTCAACTCAAACAACTGGACTCAGCTATAAGTCCTGTGTGGGGATGTGTTGTAGACTACATAAAGTCTCACTCATGGTGGCCACATGGGGATTCACAGTTGCTGCGTTTTTCTGGACCAGCTTCCTGGTCTTCTTGGGATTCACCTTCCCCTGGCTGACCTTTGTTCCCCTCTTGGGGTTGATACCACTGAAGTGCCTAAAAACGGAATAACAGAGAATTATTTCCAGTCGATATGTAATCCCCTCACATTCACCAAATAAATGTTCTAATATTTTCACATGGTTATGACATCTGTGTCTCATAATTATGAGTGAATGATCAGTCCAAACTGAAAATTGTCTGAGGATTGTCTCCCATCACCCCATCCTCACCCAGACTTCGAAAATCATGCACGTTGCCAGGTTGAGGACACTAAACCTACATGAATGAGTACATTTACCTTTGAATATTGCAAAAGATGTCTCCTACATTGTAGGTTGATCAGCTAATGTCTACATTTGCAATGTTTTTTTGCAAATCATAAACCTGGGTTGCCTAAATGGGACTGGCTAAATGTTTAATGGGTGGGATCATACAGACCAAAACACAAATAGATGTTCCTCTCCAGAATGAAAAATTCAAAAGAGGAACTACTGGCTATAGTATTCTTTTAAGAGAAACCAGTCTTTCACCTTAGCATGTTTCCTAAATCTCTGACATAGCATGGTCTGATTTCTCTACCATGGTGTCTATTGTTACAGTTTTGCTGAATGCAATATCATGGAGAAAGTAGAAGAATTGTAGCGTAAGTGCAGTTCTATTACAGTTCCAAATTGCTGGTATAGTTTATGTAGCCTAAAATAAGGTTGGTCAATAAACTGTCCATGTAGATTTCTTAATCTGGAGAGTGAGTAGGCATTATCAGTCTTTATACTAAGGTAAAGAAGAAAAATGGTTAAATGACTGACAATGGCTCCCTGCAGGAGTTATTTCATTATTATTTTATAGACCAACCTTATTCAGTATTTGAACTTGCAGCAGATGGGAGACGGACAGAACAAGAGAGAAGCGAAGGACACAAGCTGTAGCAGCTTGGCTGTTTAAAGACCAAACATAGGACGTTAATAACTGTATTTCAGAACAACATTGCAGATGGCTATATTGGAGCTCAAGTGGCAAGTTTCTCACTCCTAACGCAAATAGATAAAATCCTGTATTTACCAATATACACCATGGTAGAGAAGTCACAAACAAACTTGTATTAACAGCCTCACAATAGGTGTACATGAGGGGATGCATTCAAACAAGGCACAATAAAAAATAGAGGTTAAAGAAATACTTAAAGGGTCAAAGACAGCTACAGATATGCATGCATTACCCTGGGTTCAGACTGCACACGCAAACGCAGTGAGGCCCTCCTCTCTATCACTCTCTTTTGATATCAAATATAAATTTAATTTACCTTTATTGGGAAACATGGCAGATGTCAACAAACCTAATGACGCTCTATATATATATCTGGTGTATTAATCTATATTTTAGCATGTAACTAGTATATGTATGCAGTTTACTTTTCTGAAACTTTTTTTAGGCCATAAGTTTTGTTTGCATGCATGCTTGCACTATGGGTTAACACAAGCAGTAAGTTTCACTTTGTTATGCTAATGTGTTTTACAATTGATACAATCAACACAAAATGTCAAAACAGGGTGATGCTGACTATGATAAGATTGAAATTACCTTGTTAAGTGAGCCACAAACACAGGATGGATAACGGTGTGCAGGCTTAGTAGGCAGGAAGAAAGCAACATGTGGTGATCCGCTTCGTCCACTTCAGGGCTGCAGGGTCAGAATCCAGGTGAAAATCATCTTCAGCTCTTTATCTCTTTATCATCCTTCCTTCTATGTTATACTAATGTGATACTATGTAATACTGAACAACATTTTTATTTTATTTTATTATATTAACCATGTGCTCAATGACATGGTGGGATGAAGCAACATGGCTGTGCTCAGATGGGTTATGGCAGACTTGGGCAACAAAACAAAAAATACTGAGATACAAAGTGAGATTGTACAGTAGCTTGCTGTTATTATTTTGTTCCCCCAAGGAGTCAACATTTACAGTATTTAGCTGTATTTATGAATAACGGTACATTACTATCCAAAATCAGACGTAATTTTACAGCAACACAGTTTATTTGGAAACAAAATGTTTGTTTTTTTTTAAATAACAATATTAAATTAAATAAAGGAATTATAAATATTAAGTATTATTTTAAATGACACATGCAATGGTAGCTTCCAGTGATTAGTCTGAATGGTTTTCACACCAGAAATGAACAGCTCCAGAGTTCACTGAACAGCGGTATGAGACCACCCCTTTGAGGCGGACCAGAGTGTGGTTGTTTGGTTCGCACAAGATTTTGTTACCGGCGTTCCCCCGAACCCAAACGAACAGCACCAAGGGGGTAAACTCTCCGGGGTTCGAGAAAACAGATTTTAAAGATACCTATCATTTATCATGCCAAAATAAAATACAAATGTGTTCAGGGGATACACCCAGTCTCTCTGAAGATCAACAAAAGATATATAAGAGGAGAGAATATGTTTCTGTAGTTGAAGCAATTAAACAGTGATGTTGATTTCAGGAGATTCTTCCCGGTCATCATGTTACCTGAGGCCTTTCCGGCTGCCTGGGACTGGGCGCATACTCCACAACAAACCCATGGGTTCTTTTCCTGTGTACGTGCCTCCAAAACTCAAATCCTCTGCAACTAAAAAAAGCATTGAAATGTCAACAACAAGAAAACAAAATATCCAAGAAGCAAGTTAGCTGTAGAGTCAAGGACGAACAGCAAACACCTGTGGTCTTTTTGTGTTTAGCATTTAGCAGGCCGTTTGTCCTCACTACACGTGATAGATTTCAGACATCGATGCACTTTTAAATTTAAAAATCAGTTTTAGGAACGTGACAAAAATTAAGAGAACCCACCACACACTGTTCCCCTGTGATCACTGATGTAGTGTCCGAATGCCTCCCAGAAGTCATTTTCCTCAGAGTGGAGGAGGGAGTGAAGTGTTACTGGAGATCCTGGAGGTAGATTCTCCACCACCACCTTGAACTTCTTATCAACCAGAGCCCGACTGGGGAGAACAGAGAGAATCGGAGGGACAGTCTGGGACATCCTTACTTTACTAATCTTCTGTGGAGAAATGCAAACACATGCGCACGGGTTAGAGTTTATAAAGTCAGTAACAAGAGGATTGTCAGTCACGGACGGACTAAAAGTTATTTTGTAACTGAATTGTTTAATCTATCTACTTGGATTAAAAGGTGACCTCTGTCTGTAGCAGACTGAATTCAAAGATGACATGGTTCAAAGACTAGACTAAAATACATGACTAAGTTTAATGGATGTTCTTTAGTGAGTCTTCTGAAATACAGAGTCCAATCCAGACGTCTTTTAAGGGTTTTATTCTTTGCAAAGGCTCAGACAGACTCCAGCCCCCCCGCGACCCTGTGCGCAGGATAAGCGGTTGACCATGGATGGATGGATGTTACAACTACGTACATAAGTATAATTTTGAAGCACTTGTATATATCAAAGCTCACACCGGGGTAATGGACTCACAAGGCACGACTCAAGGTGGTTCACAAAAGACAGTTTATTGAACAAAGTTCAAGAACTTGCAGGCAGTAGTATAAAATCACAGGGCAGAAGTCGTAGTCAAAAAACTGAGGTCAAACCACACAAAAGCGCACACTGGGAAATTGCTGGAACGCTTGGGATCAAGACGAACTGGCACAGGTACAGAGGGAACAAGGGTATTTATTCACTAGGGCAAGGGAGACAATGAGGCACAGGTGGAGCACATTAGGTTCGAGACTGGCAATCACACATGGCGGGAAGGCAGATGAAGACCTGGAACGAGACACAAGATGAGTCACTAGAGCAAAACAGTAAGTGGTAACAGACAAAACACATAACCTAACTGCGGGAGCTGGGCGTGACAGTATATTGCTTGCCTTTACTCCACTACATGAATATAATATCTTTAGTTTCCTTGCAGATTTACATTATTAATACAAAATATATTTATCATCAATATTAAAATAACAAATGCTCCACTATATTTATTTCACAGCTATAGTTACAAGCTGCTTTGTAATTAACATTTTACATGCAAAACATCTGATCAGTTAATAACAGCAGGGCATTATTAGCCTACAGATTAAACTACCCCGACTGTATATAAAGCAGATAAGATTATCTCCAACATGATCAACTATAACATGAAAGAAGTTATGGTACATGTTAATACATCAACTTTAATGAAACAATAATATGTTATAAACAATATGTTATGAACAATGAGTCAGACCTCAGGTGATGACCTCACCAGACATACTGCAGTTTGCCGACCACCCTGAGCTGCGTGTCAAAGACGCCACTATCTACCTGCTCCGGCGAGCCCACTTTCACTTGGACAAGGCTGGTAACACTGTGATGATCACTTCTCCAGTGCCTTTAACACAATCCAGTCTACTATTACAGAAGAAGCTCCACAAGATACAGGTAGATACCTCCACAACCATCCTTGGGTATTGGCTACCTGATAGACCACAGTTTGCGTGACTGAAGGGACGTGTGTCTAGCAGGGGACAGTACTCTCACCTTTCCTCTTTACACTACCTCAGACTTACAGTACAACTCTGAGTCCTGTCATCTGCAGATATTCACTGATGTTGGCTGTGTCAGTGATGAAGAGGAGACACTGTCCAAGGAGCTGGTTGATTTCTATGTATGTGGATAAGACTAAGGAGATTGTTGTGGAACACAATTTAAATCCAGGGAGAAGAGGTGGAGGTGGAGGAGACCACAAATACCTGGGTGTTCACCTTGACAACAGACTAGACTGAAGATGTAACACTGAGGCTGTCTACAGGAAGGGACAGAGCAGACTCTACTGTACTTCTTGAGGGTGTTTGTCGTTTTATTTTTTTACCATTCTGTTGTTGCAAGAAGCTAAACTGCTGGATGAAAACTCACTAAAATTGTCAGGTGGGTTGCAAAATGTTCCAAACTTCAAAAAATCGAAGAAAATCACCCGTACGTCCTAGAAAGCTGAAATGTGTTCAGCACCTCCACTGATCTGTGACTAACGTTTGCCTCACTGCAGCCTATGGTCAATTCATTAGTCAGTCACTCTATATTTTTCAGAATATGCTAATTCAATTAACATCTATAACTCCACAAGTCTTTCTTCAAAAGCTAACAAAATCAACACAGACATTCTCCAGATGGCCGATATCAAGTGTTTCAAAGGGTTTTTAGATAGGTAAAACTGTGAGTCTGCAGTGATATTCAGTATTGTTATCATATGTTGTACATATTTAGTTAATTTTTCTATTCTCTATATTCATAATGAAATCAAGCTCAAGCGAGTGTTTACCCTTTTGCCCCATGGGAGGTTTCTATCCTCCCTCAGCTCGCCTTAATGTTTATTGTAGCCTATCTACCAAATACCAAGCCACACTTAAATATTATAAATAATAATACACAAAATAGTACAGTAATAATAAATATGTACTATTTTAAAGGACACATTTTGAAACTTCTGTGTTTTAGGCTGCCAAATGTTCCTCTGCTGACAACGTCCGTTCTGTTAGCTGGATCATCCAAGTCCTGCAGCTTCATCCTCACCTGGTAGTAATAATAATAATAATAATAAAGGTGAAAGATTTAAAAAAAAATTATAGAACAATAGCAAGGAAAATAAAACAGAAATAAAAATAAGTTACACAGTAAAAGCAAGTTATGAATTAAAATACCGTTAAAAGAAAAATACATATTTAAAATCAACTAAAATCAGGAAAGGCTCACCTGTAAAGATTTCACTAACTCAGCCGCCCGGATTTCCTCGGGCAGGCTGTTCCAGAGCCTCGGTGCCCTGACTGCAAACTCTCTGCTTCCTTTAGTTTTCAGTCGAGACTCTGGAACAGACAAAAGACCTCTTCCCAAGGATCTCAAAGTACATGCTGCTGCGTATGGGACTAAAGGGGACTAAAAGGTCAGGGATATAACAGGGCAAGAGGCCATGAAGTACTTATAAGTAATCAATAAAATCATCACTGAAATCATCAAAAGACATGAAGACTCTTTTTGGTGGAAATTTCAAAGGTATGCATATTTTTTGCCATATAGTTCCAGAGGAATTAACAGAATTATTTAACTTGATGCAACAAAAATAAGTCTTATATGGGTCAAATAATTTTCTAAAAACATGCTCTACCAAACGGTTGAGTTGGAACTTGGCACATGGTAAAGTTTGCCCAAGCTAATGTAAAACAAATTTACTAGCTAATGTTGTACAAATTGACTATTTGCTATGAAATTGAAAACTTATGAACATTCATTATTCTTGACATGATACATATAATCTGTTTCCATTATATATATGCTGAATTAATTTCATAAACGTGTCTTTATAATGGTGAAATCATGCTATACCAAAATAATAAATGTACAATTTTTATGGAATAAAAAACTTAAAAACAAATAAATATCTTGAAAACAAACAAATTCAATCAACATTACCAGCATTATAACAGGACACTGCTGACCCTAAATCACCCTCAGGCCCAAACAGAGGAACTCATTGAGGTACTTTGAGAATCTGGAAGTTTGAAGACACCGAGCCCTTCAATGTTCCTGATTCAAGATTGAACACTCTGATGATGTGAACATTCCCTTTCCAGTACTTCAAAACAATCTTCACTGACACAAGATGATTCAACATATTGCAGAACATACCAATCTGTACTCTGCACAGGAGTTGGGGGGATCCGATCAAAACTAGCCCCAAAGAGACTGACTATTTCCTGGCAGTACTACCTGTCATAGGTGTTTTCAACTTCCCAGCCATGTATGACTACTGGCACCACCAGTCACATCTCAAGACGTAAAGATATTCAAGCTGTTACGCCAGATTATTAACTTTACTGATAATCAGCAGGACAAAGACATTCCAGACCAGTTTCAGAAAGATGGCTCTTTCTGGTAAAACTATGCATTTCAATACCAACAACCTTTGGAAAAGATCATATAAAATGCTAAGTTGTTGCAGAAATAAATCTGTATGACAGTCAACAGCAGAGAAGGCAACTTCAGCACTTCATCCCTTATTGTGTATCTAGGGTTTATAGGAGAGTTCATACAAAACTGGATGCACACAGCAACTTCATTGATTATTGAACAACATTTTAAATATTACCAACATACACTAAATCAAGTAAATAATATATTTCTGTTCTTACCACCAGAAATAAAGTGGATCTAATGCCAAAAACATTTTTTGCTGTTGCACCACCACACTGATGAGCAATCTGCTGTAATCTAACATGACATTGATATGTTGTCTCAGTATCTAAGTCTGTCTAAAAGGTTTTATTTATTTATAAATATTCCCTTGATTTTGTGTTTGCCATGTTGGTAATATTCAAAATGTTCAGAAATCAGTGAAGTTACTGTTTTACTGAAGTGCTGTTTTGAATGAACTCCCCTATAAAACCTGTAGTTTTTAGTATTATTGTGGTTATTGCCCTAATGAAATAAAAAATGTGAAGAAAAAACTTTTCCAACACTTTTTTCTTGGTGAGGACTTTAAAGGGTTAATGTCACAAAAATCTAAATCACTCTGGTGTTTTATTCTGAATACGCCCAATCCACGGCAAAGTCTCTGTGGTGCATATTTCCTTACTGCTAAATCCGATTGTGAAGTCTAATATAATTTCCCACCGCATGCATAATAGGCGGCAGACGGTTGTGTGTGTGATGTTGCAGCCTGGCAAAGTGAAATTTCTCTTCTAAATGTGTGACTATAATATCAGATAATATTCAAGTTGTTTAAGTTGTAGATTAATCTTAGGAATTAAATTTTGTCTCAGATTTTTACCCCTCTCCGCCTGCTCCTTTTTTTCTATTACAATGGACATAATGTGCAGATGTCATTACATATTAATCATATTTCACATAAAAGAAGAGCACATAAAATACATAATAGATTTGAACAACAATAAGAACACTAAAGATCATTAGGCTACAAATTTACTCAATTCGATGCCAACAGGCCTCCCTGGCTTTGTTGGCTCCACGATATTAGATTTTGCCGTTAATATGTCTTTACATCCATCATATCCTGACAAATCAACGTGCATTCT